TATTCCCTTTCTGGTTTTCTTAGAGGCTTTTTTATCTTTCTGCTTCCCCCTCTTTTTCCATCTTGTCCTTCTCCTGTCTTGCTGTGGGCCCATGATTGACTTCCAACCCACCAGCTGGCTTGACTATTCTCTGGGAAGAGAGGGGGTGCAGCTGTGTCACAGGACTGGAGAGACAGCAGTCTGGGGACAGCTTTTCTTGAGGATCTAGTTGACAGTCCTGCCTGTGCTTCTTCTCTCAGACGGTGTGGAGGAGGTGGCTGGTTCATGCCCACAACCCTTGACCCACAGTCCTCCCAGCAAACCCAAGCTGGTGGTGAAACCTTCAGGGAGCAACCTCAACGGTGTTCCCCCTAACCCCACTCCCATTGTCCAGCGGCTGCCAGCTTTTCTGGACAATCACAACTATGCCAAGTCCCCCATGCAGGTGAGCTGGGAGCACCCCACAGGACTTCCTCCAGGATTCTTTCAAGAGGCTGCTACAGGCAGTTTCCTCAGGCGGTTCCTTGGTATTCGTCCTCCATCCAGGCCTGGTTCTGTCTGATACTCAGAAGCACCCACAAAGGCAGGGGCTTAGAGAGCTCCTCTGACTTTAAGTCCAGCCACACAACTGGGGGGCTAAACGTTTAGATTATGCTCCTTGGTTTAACTTTATGGGTTGGATTTTGCTGGCAAAATAAAGGCACATGTTTCAGAAGCCCTGTGTAGGCAGGTAGGTAGTGTGGGTGGGCAGCAGCTTTCCCAAGAACCAGGGTTGGGCTCTGCAATACCTGAGGGGTTCTGTGGACTTGACCTGAGCCATGTTGGCTTCCTCTCTGGCTGTGAGTGCTGTGCCCAGTCTGGGCTGACGGACCCCTGCTCATGGCTGTCCTGGGTTTTTGCCCCAGGAGGAGGAAGACCTGGCAGCAGGTGTGGGCCGCAGCCGAGTTCCAGTCCGCCCACCCCAGCAGTACTCAGACGACGAGGATGACTATGAGGATGATGAGGAGGACGATGTGCAGAGCACCAACTCCGCCATCAGGTCAGCCTCAGCTCTGTAAGGCTGGAGGCTCTGAGTGCTGCGGACCCTATCTTGAATATTTCAGCTTGTGTCTGAGAATGCCCTTCAACAGTAGACAGTACTGAGCCCCTGCTGAGTGCAGGGCCCTGGGGGAGGCTGGCATGAAGGGGTTGACTCCAGGCCCCAAGAAGCTTTTGGAGGATGGGGCGAGGGCTGAGCACATTTAACCAGACATCAAGATGTGTACTGTTGGGAGGTGGCCTTTTGGCTGGGCTTTGGAATAAGAATTGGATAAAACAGGGAAGGAGGAGATGAGGTAGGGGTAGCTTTTTTGGAAGACATGGCATTGGCAAAAGGCCAGCAGCTAAAATAGAGAAGGTGTCCTTTGAGGACACCTGGCTGTAGCTGTCAGAGCTCAGGGTGCTGTTTTGGGTCAGGCTGCTGGACTGAGCGAGGAGCTGCAGCGTCAGTCCCTGGGTGCCCCAGGGTGTGTTCAGATAATTCTGGGCATTGCTGGGTGTGTGATCACCTGGCCCACTCCCTTGGCTCACCTCTTCTTGGACCCCACAGGTACAAACGAAAGGGGCCAGGGAAGTCAGGGCCATTGAGTGGCTCCGGGGATGGGCAGTTGTCGGTGCTGCAGCCCAACACAATCAACGTTTTGGCCGAGAAGCTCAAAGAGTCCCAGAAAGACCTCTCGATTCCCCTGTCCATCAAGACCAGCAGCGGTGCTGGGAGTCCAGCTGTGGCGGTGCCCACGCACTCGCAGCCCTCGCCCACCCCCAGCAACGAGAGCACGGACACAGCGTCCGAGATCGGCAGTGCTTTCAACTCACCACTGCGCTCGCCCATCCGCTCGGCCAACCCCACACGGCCCTCCAGCCCTGTCACCTCCCACATCTCCAAGGTGCTTTTTGGAGAGGATGATAGTCTGCTGCGTGTTGACTGTATACGCTACAATCGTGCTGTACGTGACCTGGGTCCTGTAATCAGCACAGGTTTGCTGCACTTGGCTGAGGATGGTGTGCTGAGTCCCCTGGCACTGACAGGTGGGCCTTGGGCTGACTCACTGGCCACTTGGTATACCAAGGAGGGAGGAGGGAGGTAGCCAAGTGACCACCAAGTGTCCTGCACTCTGATGGGTCTTCTCATGCCTTCTTTTCTCAGAGGGTGGGAAGGGTTCCTCGCCCTCCATCAGACCAAGCCAGGGCAGCCAGGGGTCCAGCAGCCCAGAGGAGAAGGAGGTGGTGGAAGCTGTAGATGGCAGAGAGAAGTCTGGGCTGGCCAGGCCTGGTGAGCCTTTGAATGGAGAGAAGTACTCACCCAAGGTGAGCCCTGCAGTTTTCTAATCCTGGCAGAGGGAAGAGCCTGGGGCACTGCTGCCCAAGGCTGGGTTCTTGACTGGAGTTTTGGTGGCTGTGAAGCCTGCCTGGGTTGGGTAGTGGAAGAGGCCTCAGTAAGCTCCAGGCACTCTGGCTGCTTACTTATCCTTGCCTCTCACTGCTTCATGGCAGTGTGGCTTTGGTGCTGGCCAGCCTCTGCCATGGGTGTAATGCTGGTTTTTTTCAGGAGCTACTGGCACTGTTGAAGTGTGTAGAGGCCGAGATTGCCAACTATGAGGCCTGCCTCAAGGAAGAAGTGGAGAAGAGAAAGAAGTTCAAGGTGGGTTGTCTCTCTAGCTGCCTGGTCCTCTGCTCCTGACTGTCTTCTCAGAGGTGTGCGACCTCTCGAGGTCAGCTGGTGGCAGCTCTGGGAGATGGGCTGCAGTGCTCTCATCCTTTTCCTCCCAGATTGACGACCAGAGAAGGACCCACAACTATGACGAGTTCATCTGCACATTCATCTCCATGCTAGCTCAGGAAGGTGAGGGTACTGACTGTTGTGCATTCCCTGGCATACACTGCTGAGGGCCATGTTCCTCAGGTCCCCCCTCCATCAGGCCTCTGTTGGGGCTTGAGAAGACTGGGGCTCAGGGAGGCCCATGAGACCCTCAGCTCTAGGCCTGAGGCTGTGGCCTATTGAGTGGGTGGCTGCTGGGCATCCAGCCACCTGCTCAAGGGCCTCTGCTTCTCTGCAGGCATGCTGGCCAACCTGGTGGAGCAGAACATCTCGGTGCGGCGGCGTCAAGGGGTCAGCATTGGCCGGCTCCACAAACAGCGGAAGCCTGATCGGAGGAAACGCTCACGCCCCTACAAAGCCAAGCGCCAATGAGGACTGCTGGCCCCATCTCTGCAGCCTGCTCTTGCCTTGTGGCCCTCACCAGGGCCCCTTCCCTGCCCCACAGTCCCCTTCCCAGTATTACTGAATATTTCCAGCCAGACAGCCCAGACCCTGGAAATGCAAGCCAGGCCAGGATTCCCTGCATTGTACCCCTGGGTCTGGTAGGGCAGGTCAAGCCCATAGTGCTCAGGAAGCAGCAGCTGGAGTTTGGGAGCTTGGGCACAGCGAGGTGCTGCGGCTTCCTCCACAGCCGGCTGTGGAGCTGTAGGACTTGGCCTTTCTGCCTGGGCAGCAGAATATATATTTTACCTACAGAGACATCTATTTTTCTGGGTTCTGGCCCATCTTGCCACCACTGTGTTGACATAGCTGGCTTTCTGACTGCGTTCTCTCCTAACAGCTCTCATCCTGGTGGGGCCTGAGTGGGCATGGGCCTGCTGCTCTAGCCCCAGCTGCCAATCGTCTCTTGTGAGGAAGCCAGGTCGGCTCTTCATTCCTCCTGGGAGAGCTCCAAACTCAGGGACCTGGCTTTTGGGCTGGGTTGGGAGTGGGGTATCCCAGCAGGGGTGGGGTGAGCAACCTGCTGGGGCTCATGGCTTGAGCAGAGAGGAGTGTTTGAGCTGCTCGGGGGCTTGTAAACTCCCTGGCTCCAGTCGGGCACGTCAAGTCTCCTGTCCATGGCAAGGCTCTGGGGCTCTTTGCCGTCAGTGTTGTGGCCCTGGCAGTGGGCCTGCCTTGGGTTCCTGGGCTCTGTCCCTGGAGCTTGGGGCTTAGGGGAGCCTCTGCCCAGCCCCTCAGTATTACCATGTTTCCCTCCTCGTAGGGGTAGCAGAGACAGGGCTGCTTGCAGGAGACTGGCACCACACTCTCCCTGCTACTCGCTTCCGCAGCCTCTGCAAGGTACTCAGGATGGGGACTGCAGGACCAAGACAAGCAGTTGGAGCCCCCATGTTCCCAGAGGGCCTGACACCAGGGGTAATGGGCCCAGCACTGCCTCTGGAGCTTGGCTCCCCAAATATAGCCCCATAGTCTCTACCCGATGACTTTGAAGAAGATCCAAGGAGGCCCGTTATCTGTACATAGTGATCTGGGAGAGGAGAGGGGGTGGGGGACGGCTAGTAGGCATGGCAGTTAACTTCTGCACTGAGCACAGCCTGACCCCTTGACCCCCTGTAAATATTGGATCAATGAGTGAATAAAACTCCTAAAAAAATGAATCCTCCTGTGGTTGTTGGCCTGAGGTTTGTAGGCTAGGCTGAGATAGGAGTGAGGAGCTAATCAGGCCTGGCCCAAGGCTCAGTGACCAGAGGTGGGTGAGAAATACACATTCTTGGGCAGATTTTTGGAATCCTAGCTCTGGAATTTAGGACCTGAGCTGCGGAGGGTCTTCAGGTGGGCTGTGGAGCCTAAAGGGTTGTCTAAAAGGGGTACTTTGGGAGGAGAAAGCCATGCTATGGCTTTCATCAGATCTGATAGCTTTGCAACTTGGAGAGATGCTGGGGCTCTGGGCTGAGGCAGGGCTGCCTATTCCTGCCTGATGTGTTCTCCAGGAGGGGCCCTGGGACCCTGAAGGGCTCACCTCTCATTTCACCTGGATAGGTCAGCAGGTCAAAGCTGCTACATCTGCCACCTCTTCCCCTTGCTAACCACTGTAGCCCCTCACCCCCACCCTCGCTCTTTCTCTGGCAGTGATTCCCACAGAAGGGGCTTGATGTAAGCAGGTAAGGCTCAGCTGGACTACTTAGAAAACTCAACTTTAATGGCTCCACTCTTCTGTCCCAGTCTAGTAGTCCAGGGCACAGATGAGGGCCACACCACGCTTTATCCAGTGTCGCTGGGGCTGCTCCGAGGGGATCTCCACAGCAATGACATAGTTGGTGGAGTGGCCTGTGGTTGATAGTGTTCCTAGAACAGGCAACAAGTGGGGAGGGTTAAGTTGTCTGCCACAACTAGAGAACAGACAGGGTAAGGGCAATGGATTTGGCAGGCTTGGAGACGAGGGAATCCTGACCAAAGGGCAAGCTGCTTGGTGATTGAGTCTGGCCAAGGCTCAGGCCTACCCAGGGGCTCCCAGAACCCAAGGTGGATCTGCTGAGGGAGGCAACATGGTGTGCTCTGGGGCCACTCCATAGCCAGCCAGCTGCTGGGCACTACCCTGCTTCTGCCAGGCTCTCCTTCCCAGGTTCATCAGGACTGCTGACTGACCTTGGCCGGCCATCTTGTTCAGCTAACCTGGGTCAGCCCCACCTGTGGTGTATGCTCCCCGCCTTAGGCCTCGTACCAGCACGGGTCAGCGTCTTGTAGATGGGGCACAGGTAGAAGGCCTGGTCCTGGATCTTGCGGTTGGGTACTGGCAGGAGCCAGATAACGGCCATCTCCGTGTAGAGCTCCTTGGGTCGAGACTCCACCAGCTGGAAGGCCGTGGGATCCCAGCGGGCACCTTCCAGGAACAGTCCGTGGATGTAGCACCCCTCTTTGGGTCTGGTCTCGAGCTCTGACACTGACTGGCCCATCACCTATGGTGGGCACACAGATATGCCCCACACATATTAATACCCAGAATCTGGGTTAGAATTTGGATCCAGAGGCACAAACTCCTGAGAGTTCTGCCTGCCTGCCTGCCTGCCTATCACCCACCATTTTAGCTGGTAGCTTGCAGGCTATGTCCTGCCCCTCGTGATTTCCCTGGGGCTCATGGCCTCTTCTGGCCTGGTTCTCCCCCCATCCAACCCCTGCTCAGGGGTCCCCTGACTGCCAGCCAGCTGTGTCCTTGCGCCCCTCCTATCTGGGCTGTACCTCAGCCTGTCACCTGACCTGACCCTAGCTATATCGAGACCTTGAAATCGAAGGAGATGGTGTCAATGGAGATGACAGACTTGCGGGCAAAGTTCTGCAGGGTGCCTGTTAGGAAAGCCTGGGGGAAGAAGAATCCACTGATCCAGAAAACAGCTGGGATGCCTTCTTGGATCCAGCTGTGCAAGAAGTTCAGGCGCTTCAGCAGATCCATGACCCATGAGGACAGTGGCTTGAGTGATGGGTAGGCCTTGGCATTCCAAAGCTCGGGCACGGTGTTGTTGTACAGGCTGGCAGCCATCAGTTCCAGCTGCGAGGACATCACCACCAGCCCCTTGAGTGCCTTGAGCACATCGCGCAGCGACTGTGTAATCACCTGCAGCAGCCGGTTGTACCTATGGGGCCAGTGCAAGGAGGCAGGCAGTGGGCCAGGGCTGTAGCAGTATCTACCAGGAAACTTGTAGGCCATAGACGAAAAAACAATGGCCAAACATAGGGGCTAGAGCATAGAGCTGGTTGGGTAGCCTGGGTACCAACCGCAGCTCTGGCCCTTAGCAAGTGTGTGACCTTAGTTCACTTAACCTTTGTGGACCCTGGTCTACTCATTTTTAAAATGGAAATAAAATGTGGCTGAGTTAGAGGATGGGTCTGTTGCACTTGGCATGGCACCTGCCCAAAGTACCTCTTGCTGTCACTTCTCTATAGCCCAATGGTCCGCTGACCAAGGGCTGGGGTGGGGGATTACCGAATGGTCTCCTGCACTAGCACCGTATTCATTGACTCCTCATACAGCACAGGGTACTTGGTCATCACCCACTGTACGTTGATGGCCTCAGGCACCTGGAGTAGGACTCTCTGAGCCACATCTTCCACTATCTGTAGGGGCAAAGGGATACTGGGGGTCAGGACTGGCCCCCACAACCCTTATAGGATTCTACATGCAGAGTTCCTACAAGGGAGCAGACAGGATGGTGGGTGGGAGATTATCCCTGCCCAACCCTTGGGTCCCTTCCCCTTGCAGTCACCCACCTCCTCCCTGCCCTGGCCGCCCACAGAGGACGATTTGGGTTGCAGCTGTACGATAGCACCGAGCAGGGCGAAAGTCTCATTCTGGGCAAAAGTGATGTTGGCGTTGTCATGCAGGCCAAAGATCTCAGGAATGTCGTTGAGTGGGAGGCCCTTGATGTAGGAGAGGTAGCCCTGGAGGGTAGGAAGGCACAAGTGAAGCCCCTGCCTGGCCCTACCCCCAGCCTGTGTGCAGCCCTCCAATCGGGCACATTCCCCACCCATCGCCCTGGTTGTAACCTGTTGTTCTTGGGCCTCCAAGGCCCTGGAGGCATCATGTGGGTGGGTGGCTTCTACCTCCTTCCCAGCTCTCTTCTCACTGCCATCCCGCTCCCTGCTCCATCTGGCAGCTCAAACCTGTCACAGTCCCTCCCCTCCACTGATGACCACACTCTGGAGGGCCCGACACGGCCCCTGAGCCCTCCTCACACATCTCGGCTGAAGCAGCGCTTCCTGGGAGCCCTCCCTGGCTGTGGGCTGGTCTGCGGCCCCTCACCCTGCCTCACCCAGTGCACTCAGGCAGTGGTGACTGTCTTGGGGGATGGATTAATCAATGAGAAGGAGCTACTGGAGGGCAGGGGCCACTCTCCTCTCACCCAGCACCCAGGCTGTGCTCACGTTGAGGTCGTAGGTGGGCTGGATCTGGTGGTAGATGCCCGAGGCACTGTAGCTGTGCTCAGGGACGAGCACATCAGGGCTGTAGAAGTCCTCCAGGATGTTCATGATGCAGCGGCGGTCCCAGTCATCGGTGACGCGGCCCCCGTAGTTGATCTCCCCTGCCGTGTACTTGAGGACCTGTGTGGTGGTGGGGGGGTAAGGACCCCACAAGCACCTAGCTCCCTGAGCTCCCTGCCTCCAGCCTGTCTCCAGCCCACCTTGTAGGGGATGTTGTCATACTCGTCCAGAAACATCTTGAGCTGGCTGATGCAGATGCGCAGGTCCCCGTCTGTGAACTCATAGGGGATGTTGAAGCCCAGGGGCCCAAACTTCCGACGCTCGAGCGCATTCCCGTGGAACAGGCACAGAGACAGCAGCAGGGACTTGAACTCCATCACCTATGAGAGGTGAGGAGCAGAGGATGTGAGGGGTGAGGACAGGGGCAGGGAGGGGAGGGCACTGCCAAGTGTGCCTCACCTTGTGACAGGAGTTGAGGAAGTCATCGCTGAGGCTGCTGTAGGACTTGAGCAGATTGGCCTTGACGCCGCGTGGCGGCTCGATGGTCATCTTGGAGCCGTTCTGCAGGATGGACACTGGGAACTTGTTGCTGGGCAGGCTAGTAAGCCACAGGCGGAAGTCCCGGTGCACCTGGTGGCCATGTTCCACATGAGCACTGAGACCCATTCCTGGTGGTCCCCCTGTCACCAATCTCCCTCCTACCCAGGGACGGTGGGCCACCCTCAGCCTGACGCTATACTCCTGGGTGGGCCAGGCCAGGCTGCACCGGTCCACAGGTTAAGAATATGAGCTTTGGTAAGTCCCAGGGTCACTGGCTGGATGGCCTTGAGCAAGTCACATCACAACTGGTAGTGTGACTGGGGGGCCACTGGGAAGATGAATGCCGTCGATCATGTTCTGTAGGTCGGTTCCCGAGTGCTGCCTGTGAGCGGGGCTGGGCCGAGCGCTTTGCGGGACCACCTCATTTAGCTTCAGTCCCAGGCAGACTCGTTAGTACTCCCTTCAGCAGAGGAGGCTGGCGCACCTTGTCGGGATTGATGTGTTCAATGAGGCGCTCGAGGGCTGGCATCCAGCTTGGGGCCAGGTGGCAGTTCTGGAAGAAGACCCACTTGCCCCTCTCTATGGAACTGCGCATCATGGCTTCTGCCCTAGGGCCCTGTGGGGGTGGGGGTGCTGAGTGTTGGGACCAGCTGTCCTGGCCCCCACCAGCCTCCTTGTCCCACCCTTACCTGGCCCTGGCCCAGGGAGATGGCAGACAGCTTCTTGGAGAACTTCATCTCTTCAGCAAACTTGTACAGGTCGGCAGCGGGGTCAGTGCCAGGCGACAGCACAAAGATGAGGGGTGTGGTGGAGTTGGAGTCTTTGAACACCGCCGACAGGTTGGCTGTCTGCAGGGCAGGGAGAGATGCTGGGCTAAGGAGGCACAGGGACCGGGGCAAGGGACAGCAATCTTGGGGCTCCCAGAGAGGTCCTGGGGGCCTGGATCCTCCCAGAGCCTTTGGAGGGGTGGGGCTAGGAGTCCTATAGCCTGACCAAGGCTGTGGTGGTCTGTCCAGGTGCAGCCAGGCCCCTGGCACCCAGGAGGGGCTTAGCTGGTGGCACTGGCTGGTGGCACTTGCCTGGGGCTCAATGAAGCGTGGCTCCAAGTTGGTGGCCACAAAGTCCTGCATGGCATTGGTGACCTTGTCTCCACGCAGGCAGCGCAGAACCAGCAGCTTCTGGAACTGGTCGAGGTACTGGTCCCAGATGCCAGGCAAGGGCTCCCTGCAATAGTGCCCATGTCTCCCTGAAAGCTGACCTGTGGGAGGGCACTGGCCAAGGGACTCTGCTGGCTGGATGGCAGGGGAGAGTGGGGTGCCCGGGGATATGTGCCAGGGGCATGAAGGAGACGTGGCCACAGCAGGGCAATCGTGGGTGGCCCCTCAGAAGGCTCCTGTCTGGGTCTCACCCCCTGGACGTGCCCACCCTGCCATGCCTTGGGCCCAGCTCACCGGTGGGGCTCGTGGCTGTCGAAGATAGCCTGGAATTCTGAGAGGTGTTCCACAAAGTCAGTGGCGAAGGAGGAGAAGGCTGGCAGGTTCGAGAGCGCCAGGATGTCTCGCCAGGCCCGGTCTGAAAGCCAGTCCACTGCAGGGTTCTCAATCATAACCTGGATGGAGCCCCCGGATAGGAGGTAGCGCCACTCGCTCTGGCAGGGGACAGGGGAAGCTAGTGCCAGGCGCTGTGAACCCGTGAGCCCACCCAGTACAGTGAGGGCTTGGGCACTGGTGGCTGTTACTCTCACTACGTGGGCAGCACTTTCCAACACCATGGACACCTGGGACTCATGAGAGCACGAGCTGGGCCCAGGCCAGCCTCCGGGCCCACCAGTGCACTGAGGGCTCAGGAGGCCTGGGCTCACAGGACTGCTTGGGCCACAACTCAACCAGGGTCTCCTGTCTGGTTTTTTTTAATTTTCTCCTATTAATAGTTTTTATCCCATGTGGAAAAGTACAGTAGTTGTGCAGTTCCTGTCTGTTTTTAAGCAAGGAACCATGTTTCCTGAGGCCTCTGCCCCTTTGCTCTTGCTGTATCTTCATGCCTGGCCTTCCCTTCCATCCTGTTCCCCCAGGCCCTACAACAGAGCAACTCCTCAGCCGGCTGTCCTGGCCCGCTGTCCCACCTGGCTGCCGCCCTGCTCATGCACCTGGTCGATCTTGTCCTCGTTCATCATGATGCGGGCACACAGCAGGAAGGCGAACATCAGCTTGTGCTTCTCAAAGAGGCTGCGGCAGACGTTGCTGTAGAGGTTGTAGGTCAGGTAGCGGTTGATGTTGGCGATGCGCTTCTTCAGGTTGTCTGCAGGCAGAGACAATGCCGCACCAGGGGCAGGGGAGGGAACCAGGAGCCCTGGGTCCAGCCCAGCCATCCCCGCAGCAGCCATAGGGCGTCCGGAGCTCCCCTTGGGGCATTTGGGGTTCCCAGTAGAAGGGCTCCCAGGAGGGTAGGGAGGGGTGTGTGTGTTCTCATGTTGAGCGTGTCTGATATGAGAGTGAGAGACTACGGATGTGAGTCTGTGTACGTGCCCACTGTAGAGATGTGTTCACGCATCCCATCTGCGCCAGGTGGGAGCCTGTGTTTGTGTCCACATGTGCACGTGTGCCAGGGTACCTGCCCTCTCTGAGTTGGCGATGCCTGAGAGGAAGATGTTGAGAAACCACTCGAGGGAGTACTGGTACATGGGGTCCACGTTGGCCAGGTCAGACACACAGAAGAAGAGGATCTGGGTGCGGACGGCCACGGGTATGTATTCCATGCGCGTGAGATCGATGTCCTTCTCTGTCTGCTCTGCAATCCTGACCTTGGCCTGGGGGTGCAGTGGAGGGGGGTGACCAGGCCCAGTTAGGCTGGCAAAGAACAGGCAGAAGTGGGTAGGGACAGGGTGGGGAGAGGCAGGCAGGGTGGGCAGCCAGTTGCCGACCTGGATCTCCGCAGCCTTCATTTTGGAAGCCTCCAGCACCTTGATGAGCTCCACGTCATCCACGGGGTTGCCTTCGGAGGAGCTGAGCCGGTACAGGATCTGGTCTTCAATGTCCTTCAGCTCCTGGCGCATCTTGGCATTACTGACAATCAGCTGATTCTTGGCTTCCTCCAGGTCGGGCCGCTCCTCAGCCACTACCTGGCCTAGCAGCTGGTCCTCTAGGCCACTGCCAGAGGCAGGGAACACCTGCCTGTGATACCGGGTGGTCCCCGAGGGCCCGCCCCATCTCTCTGTTCTCCTAGGGCTCCAAGAGCAGAGTCCCTGCCTGTGTCAGCCTGGGAGGCCTAGCCTGTCTCAGGCAGCAGGGATAACGCAGAACCTGCTCTCAAAGTGATCAGTTTTTAGTGAGACCTCGGGTGGCAGCCTGGAATCCCAGTCAGGGCCAGGCAGTTGGATGTGTGAGCTGCTGGGGTCTCTGAAAAACTCCCTCTCAGCAGGCGGGGTTAAGGTGACTGGGACGGACAGGCCTTAAGGGTGTTTCCACTCCCTGTCCTGTGGACAGGTTCACCGTGGCCACTGGCATGGAGCAGGCCTCTGGGGCTGGCGGGTGGCCAATGAAAGCCATAGTGCCTGGGCTCATGGCACAAGGGCAGGAAACGGCTGGGGTGCAGGGGCCGAGTGTGCCTGACTCGGGCTCCAGGATAGCTCTCGAGGTCAGTGCACAAGGGCTCGAAAAGGGCTGAGCTGCCGGGGAAGAGACGAGGTGGGGCTAATGCTCTCGAGGGAGGCTGGGTGGGGCCTTGACCGAGGATCAGGATGAGTGAGGGGTGGGGGTTTTAGGTGGAAACAGTGCAAGAAAGGGAATCCTGTGGAAGGGCTAGAACGTCCTGGAGTGTCAGCGTGACCGGGAGGAAGCTGGCAGAGGCTCTGAATGGGGGAAAGACCCACTTAGCCCAGGCCTGGGGGTAGGAGAGGGGCCGCTGGACAGGCCGAGGCACAGCTGATACTCAGAAGCCTGGGGGCGGGGCTTACCTGGGCGACAGGGTGAAGTTGATGAGGGTGAGTTTGGTGGCGATCTCAGGCGTGTAGTGTGGGTTGGGCAGCTTGGTGGTGATGTACATCCTGAAGTCCTCGTGGTAGGGGATCACCGTGTCTCCCAGCTTCAGCACCGTGTTCCCCTGCTGCTTGTATGTCTGTGGTGGGCGGGGTGGGCAAGTGCTGTGGCCTGGGCTTCACCAGTGTGTGTGGGGGGGAGGCTGCTCGCTCCCCTGTCCAGGCCAGCAGGCTGCCCCGCCCCACCCACCCACGGCTGCAGGCTCACCTGCTTGAGCAGCACGGGCTCCAGAGCGGGGTCCAGCTCCTCGCCCACATTCTCCAGAAGGCAGGGCTTGCCGAAGCGGATGGCGTTCTCCATGCTGCGCAGGAAGTCCCGGTCGCTCAGCTTGAACACATCCAGCCCATTGTCCTTCTCCTGTGGGAGTAGGGCAGGTAGGTGTTTGGGGGCTGAGAGCCACCCCAAGGCTCAGCTACTCCTCTTGTGCCTGCTGAGCCTGGCTGTGGGGATGGTGGCACCTGGCAGGGGGCTTACCATGTTCTTGATCCACTTGTTGGCCTGTCCCTGAGGGTCAATGAAGTGGGTCCAGCGCTGGGAGAACTGATTGATGACCCCGTTCTCCACTGACAGTGTGTCGTTGGGGAGGCCAGCGATCTGTGGGGCACCAGGCGTCATACTGGGTCGGGGCTTTCACATGAAGGGTCAGCCGGGGCATCAGCTACTCCCCACCTCCTGGTTTGGCTGTGTCTGTCCTCTCCTTATTGTGTCCTCTTGGAGGTGTGGGCAGGTGACAGTGAGCTCCTAGGCTGGCTCCCAACACCCTCCTTCACTAGGCTTCTCTGTCCTTCTGCCTACTGAGTTCTCACTCAATTAGACCATCTCCACAAAGCCTGCAACCCATTGGCCTTCCCAGCCTATGCTCACCTTTGACCTCTGCTTACTGCCTCTTGCTTCTCTCCCTGTGCCAACCCTACTTGGCTCTAGCTGAGACATGACTTTTTCTAGGGACCTCAACCCTCCCTCTGGACACTGTTCCCCCAGCTTCATCCCCTTGAGTCCTCTGCCCACAGCTGGCATCTGAGCCACCCTGAGCTCGGCTTTCTCCTCTCCTACCCACCACCTTCTAGCTGGGCCTGGGTGGTTCAGGGGCGGCATCTCAGAGCAGACAAAGGAAAGAGGGTGGAGAGAGGCAGAGGCTCCCAGCCCAGTGTGTACCAGGCCACAGGCCCAGCCTAGTCACTCAGCCTCCCGGGGCGAGCACCTGCCACGAGCGGATCTTCACAGGGTTCCCCAGGGTTCCCACGAGCGTGGGCTCGGAGGTGTGTGGGACTTGGTGGGTCACGAGCTTCTTGACCCACTGGTTGTAGAGCACTGTGCGGTACTGGCCCTGGGAAGATGTCAGACTCAGGTCCACGCCACACGACACCTGTGACACCCTCCCGCCTCCCTCTGCGCCCCAGCACACGGCAGTTGCACACAGAGCTGGACCCTGTGCTCTAGTCCCACTTTGGGTGACTTTCTTGGCCTCCATAAACCTTAGCCACTCGTCTGTGAAACAGGGAATCATAATAAGGGCCACTCCTCAGGGCATCTGTGAGGACTGGGTGATCACACACGGCCGGCCAGGAACGGGAGGCCAGCCCACCAGGGCGCATTATCTGGCTGTTTGGTGTACTGCCGTCTCCTCAGTGCCTGGCTCAGCGCCTGGCTCAGACAGGGCGCCTGCTAAGTGCTCGCTGAATGAGTGAGCGAGGGGAGAGCCCCTCTTCAGGCTGCCCATCGGGGAGTGAGGCCTCAGGCAGTCTATTTGGGAGGTGAGGCTGTCCTGGGCAGGGTTGGGGCTCCTTACTGTGAAGGGGCCCAGGTAGGCCACAAAGCCAGCAGCCAGCAGCACATCTCCAGAGATGTTTTCAAGCATGTGCTCCAGGTTCTCCACTGTCTCCTGCCAACGCACCCTCTCATCCGACAGACCATTGATGAGCTGCAGAGGGAGCCCTGTGGGGTGAGCTCTGGAAGGCTAGGCCAGGGGCCTGGGTGCAGCCCAGTGCAGCCCCCAGGCTGCCAGGGGCGGGGGTTTGCAGACAACCACCCCAGGACCCCACCACCACCCAGACACTTCTAGCCTGTCTAGGGCAGGCCCCGAACACAGGCCCTGCCTGGAGGGGTGTGTGCACCTTGTCAGCTCGGCCCATCCGTTGCTCACACTGCTCACACTTCAGCTCCAGCTCCTCCTTCTTGGTGATGCACTCTCGGTACCTGGCCTGCATTGTGGCAATGCCGTCCTCCACCTCCTGCAGGCGCTGCTTTGCCTCCTCCAGGATCTTCTGTGTCACCTCCAGGTCTTCCTGGGCCTCCCGCAGGGCTTGCTGCAGGCAGAGGGCACAAGGACAGCTTGTGGAGTGACCTGGGGAGTCTTTGTCCCTTTCCCCTACCCCTAGTTGTACCCAGCCCTCACCCGCTTGGGCTCCACAGCCTTGGCCACGAAGTGGTACTTGTGCATGGCGCGCACCCACTGGCAGATGGAGGTGCAGGCCTTGGACACCTTAGCGATGGCAGCGGGCTGGAACTCTTCATTGTCGATGTATGGCTGGATGGCTTTGATCACTGCCTCCCCAATGTTGTCCTGGACATGGGAACCATAGGCCTCAGAGGGCTACTTCCCAGGGAGGACAGGGCAGTGGGCCTGCTAAGGGATACCCTGATCCTGTGCCTCATGCCTGTGCAGGCTTCAGTACAGGTGTCCTCCTCAGGGAATAAACACAACCCAAAAAGACAGGCCGGAAGAGAAACATACGTGTTCCAGGATTTCAAAGAACACAGTTGGAGAGTTCTTGAGAAATGACATAGACTCAAGATCTGATGACACACAGGCCCCATTTAAAACTCATTTAGAGACAAGGGCTGCTTCCTTGGAGGCGTGGAGACGGCAGGGTAATGACCCCCACACCAAAAGCTCACCACACCCTGGGGCTCTTGTCCCACAATGAGAGACTCCAACCTTGTAGTTCAGGACAGGCCCAGGAAGCTGCATTGTTCATGAGCTCCCAGAGCTCAGAGCCTGGGACCAGGGGAGCCTGAGCACTGGCCCTGAACACTCCTGATTTGGGCTTAATTAGGCCTGGGGGGGCCTTTGGTTTTCAGTCTGATGGAAGAGGAGAAGAAGAAATGGGAAGCTCATAGGGGGTCCTGCTGCCTTCCAGTGCACCCTGCGAAGTGCCTGGGGCCCAACACCAACATAGGGTGGTGGTGGATGGCCACATGGCACAGACAATTGCTCCCCAGCCAATTTCTGGGCAGAAGAGTGGGCTCCAGGCTGACCTAACCTTTTGGCATCTCCCAAGACAGCATATACCCATGAGCGACGCGAGCCCCAGATAGACAGGGAGAGAAACTCAAAGGCAAACAGAGGGAAGCTTAATCTCAGGTGCCGAGGTTGAGAGGCAGAGGCAATGATCAAGCAGATGGTGAATGTCTAGGCCAAGGCCATGGGGGTCACAGGGAGGAAAGGGCTTGGCAGTCTCCAGGCTGCAGATCCTTGGAGTAACTGAGGGTGACATCCTGTGGGCACAGGAGTCTGCTTGGGTCCTAATTTCCTCAATACCCATCTGTGGGTGGGTATGTCTGTCACCCTCACCAGCCAAAGGGTTCCTTCATTCTGGGATCTTGTTCCTGGTAGCTCTGTGGCTGCAGGGCTGTGTGCATGCAGGGTTAGGGACACAGGGCAGAGACCCCAGTGCTGTGGTGGGCAGGCTCCTCTCCCTGCTCTCCTGCCCAGCTGGGCAGCCCTCACTCACTGGCGGGCGTGCTCACCTTGTCAAACTTGAAGAGGCCCTCGAGGAAGCGGCCGGGGTCCTGCAGCAGCCCCTTGCCAGGCTCCCAGTAGTCATCTACCTTGGAGCCAGGCTTCTCTCCGGGAACCTTCTTGGGCTTGATGCCCTTCAGGATGCACACAGCTTCTATGACCAGCTTCACACCTGGGGGCGGCCGTTGCATGGCACGCACCTGTGGGCCAGGCCAAGAGTCGAGAAGGAGAAATCCATCACTGAGTGTACCCCTGGGTAGGGACAGCTGCCAGACAGGGTGGGCCTTACCAACCAAGTCTCTACCACCACAGATGAAGGGCATGCCTGGAGACCTTGAGGTTGGCCCACTGCTCCACGTGCCAGGCCTGGCCACAAAATCCTGGATGCTCATCTCAGGGCCCAAGACCTCCCATGCACCTGCTGGGCCCTGGGGCTGGTACAAGGAGATAAGGGCACGTGGCTGGGTTCAAGCCCTAGTTCTGCCCTCACCTCTTGGCACATGACCCCCAAGGGATGTGTAGAGAGAGGGCCTGGGTGCCAGGACCCAAAAGGCACCAGGAAGAAGTGCAAAGGAGAGCTCTGGGAGAAGCCTGGCTGCCTACCTCGGTCACATCACTTTTGTTGAGGTTGCGCAGGCTGGCCAGGGCTGCATCCAGGGCAGGCAGTGCCTCATCCAGGTCCTTCTGGGCATCATCAGCAATAGCTTGTGCCTTCCTGGCCTTCTCATTGGCCTTGATCTCCTCTGCCTGCACTGATTTCCGGGTATCCTCAGCGAGGGTCGTGTCTAACTGAGGACCGGAGGCAGGGAGGGAGCAGCTGGTGGCTAGTGTCAGGAAGAGGTGTGCCCTCCTCCCCTTTCTCTTCTTTGTCTCTCAGCCTTCTCAGGTGGAAGAAAATGAGGGCTGGGATGCCCCATCCACCAAGGACTCTTAGCTGTGACAGGCCTTGGAGATCTGGAATGCTAAGAGCCCCTTCCAATCCTGAGTGCTTACTGTGGGCCTGGCATGGGGCTCCAGCTTTACACGCTTGAGCACAATTGCCCTATGGGGCAGGGCCCCCTAAGCCCACAGGGCACCTCCATGTAAGACAGAGAAAGGCGCTCCTCCCACAAGTCCTTGTCTTTCCATCTGCTGGAGAAAGTTTCAATACACCGACTTTGTAGAGCAGGACTACTTCTGCAGGAAAGCTGTCATAATGAATATGTAAATCTACCCGGCTGGTGTGGCTCAATGACTGAGCATCGACCTATGCAGCAGGAGGTCGCCAATTCAATTTCCAGTCAGGGCACATGCCCAGGTTGTGGGCCTGATCCCCAGTGGAGGGCATGCAGGAGGCGGCCAGTCGATGTTCTCTCTCATTGATGTTTCTAACTTTCCCTCTTCCTCTCTCTCTAAAAATTATAATAATAATAAAAAAGAATATGCAAATCTGCAATGTCTGCAGCAGGTGGAGCTCAGAGGATCTCAGAGAGAGACTAGGCAAACTCTGCATGTCCATGTTGTAATTATTGGGGCTTGGATTTGTTTGTCTTACTCTCCACTGTATCCCCTTCCCAGTGCAGTATTTGGCATAGAATAGGCTCTGACCAAGCATTTGTTGAACAACAAATGACCACTGAATGAGGAAATGGCACAGACATGCTAAGCAACCTGTAGGGGGCAGGCAGCTAGCAATCTTGCCGTTGCACGGGGATGTGGAGCTTCCGCAGACATGGTCAGACCTCAGGGACTGTTGGGAACACCCTTCACCTTGATCTGCTCCATGGTGAGCGTGGTGTCCTTGGCAGCCTCCTCCAGCAGAGGGCGCATAATCTCCAGCTCCTCCTGCATCTTGGCCACATCCTCGGAAGTTCGTAGCAGCTGAGGGTACGGGGGTCACAGAAAAGAAAACAAGTGTGACAGGGGGCTGGAGAGAAAGTCAGGTCTGGAGGGGGCTGGAGAGAGGGCCCTGCAGGGCTCTCCTCACTCATGAGTGAGAGGCTATGGCTGGCAACTTCAGTGGCCCCCAGGTTGCCCAGTGGACCCGAGGAAGGGAGTAGTCCCCTGAGAATCTGGAGGAATCTGCTTTGGCCTTGCCTTTGGGCTGGCAGCTTGTGCTCTTTCGATGAAGAGGGAAGCCACCCATTGAAACACTGCTGCCAACTGAAAGGCTGGGCTGAGCTGCCCGGAGCAGGGCTGAGGTGGAGCAGGCAGAACCACGCAGCTGCCGCTGCCCACAGCCCCACCCCAGCTCACCTTGTCGAGGCCACTCTTCATGCGGTTCTTGCCCGTTTTAAGCTCTTGTTTCTTCTGCCCAATGAGGATGGAGAAAATATTGAGCAGCTCCAGGTAGCTCTTGGGGGTCACGTAGTTGTAGCGGGCCAGCTCGGCCAGGTACTCGACACACTTCTTGGCCACTGACTGGTGAATATGCACGCAGACCTGAATCTGTGGGGTTGGGGACCACTGATGGAAGCCTTGTGCAGCCCCAGCAAAGAGAGGATACCAGGGTGTCCTCGAAGCCCCCTCAGCCTGGTCCTGAGAAGGGAGCCATGTGCAGGAACCTCGACGCCCTTCACACTTACTCTCTCCTATGAACTCACAACCTCAAGGACAAGGTCACCTCTTCTGCATGACCCAGAGAAGCTAAGGGATTTGTTCAAAGCAGAGCTGGCTTGGAATGTGGACCCAGCTCTTGGCCCAGTCACAGCCCCCATAGCCTGCCTTTCTTTGAGAGCCCTAAGGTGAAGTCCCCCCTTAGACTGGATCTGAGGTACGGGAGGGCCCAAGGCTTCAGCATAGTTGAAGGGAAATGGGAAATGGACTCACCCTAGCTCTTGGCCCCCAGGTGACCCTCACTCTCTCAGGTGGGATCAGACAATTCTAGCCCCTAATCTGTGGTCTCCAGGTTGTGACAGGAAGTTCTTTGAAGGAAGCTGCCACAGAGCCCTCAGGGAATAAGATAGACAGTGACCGTGACTGTGTGCCTAACCTCCTGCATCACTATGATGACCCTGTGGCACTCCCACTACACAGATGAAGAAACCGAGGCTTAGATAGGTAAAGCTGTTTACTTAAAGTCTTACCAGGACTCTCACGCAGGCCTTGGTGACCCCCAAGCCCAAACCTAACCATTTCCCCCTGATAGCTTGTTTCTAACCAAGACACTTACTAGTCCTTCAATGACTTCAGAGGTGGCTTCCAGTTCTGGGATTTCATTTAGAAATGTGGTGGCCACAGACTCTAGGGCCTCTGCTGGCCACTCGTTAAACCAGTCGATGGTACAGCAGTTGACTAGGGACGGGAACTGCCTCAGGCGAGCTCGGAAAACCTCTCCGATGGGGCTGGAGGGCCAGGAGTCCAAATGAGGCCGAGACACTGACTTACAGCCCCAGAAACCCAGGACCCAGGGCCCTTCCAGAGCCCTGTGGCACGGCAGCCGGAGGCAACACACAGTAGCCGGGGCCCAGTGGCATGGTGGCAAGACCCAGGCCGTTCTCCTTATGGTGGCCCAGTACACCCTGCCCAACCCTGCTGTCCGTGTGGCTGTGGGGGCTCCTGTACCTCATGCACAGCACCATGTGGATGTTGCTGCGCACGCGCCCTGTGTAGGCAGCCATGAGGTTGGCCTTGGTGGGCATAAGGCCCTGCTCCTGGACAGAGGGCCGCATGGTGTTGACAATCTGGTCTTGCTCGTCCAGGGTATAGAGGTTGGGAATGTCACCCGAGTTCAGGATGTTGTTGATGTCCTCCAGGAAGGACTCATTCTTGATCTAAGGAGGGATGGGGTGGAGAAACAGCCTTGAAGATGGCTCCTGGGTGTTGGACTCCACAACCACAGTCTAACTGGACCTTCACAACAGCCCCGTCTGCCACCGCCTGTCTCAGAGAAGCCTAGGGTCATATAAGTGACCTCACAAGTCGTGGTCTAGGTCTCACACCCAGGCCTGCTCTGTGGCAGGGACCCTGAACATCACCATTGTGCTGTGGAAGGGCCTGGCATCTCCCTCTTCACTGTTCCGGCCTCTCCATGCCTCCGTTTATTCACAGGGAGAAACCAGGCCACAGGCAGAAATGGGTCCTTGCCCAACTCGTATGGCCAGGGCCTGGCCAGTGCCAGAGGGCACTCTACCTTGGCTGACTCTGTGCAGGGAGCCCAGGGGCAGGAGCAGAGGGGCCCTGGTCAGGGTGGGGCACATCCCAGGGATTTAGCCATGGTCCAACCCTGACCACCAGCAGGTTTAATCTCTGCTCTATTTGCCTCGAGGCCCCAGAGCAACAGCCTCTCCTCTCAGAGTCGTGGAGAGAGACCTCATGCCCAGGGAGCTCCAGGGGGAGCAGCCCCTGGGGGAACCATGGGCACAGCACTTTGGGCACAAGTTGGTTGGCCCCAAGTTGGTTGGCCCTTGAAGCGGGAAGCTGTTGGCCAGTGAGAGGGTACTGCTTGTGGTCAGCTATAGTGCCAAGGGCCTTCTGCACATTTGGGGTGTAGTAATGATCTATGCCCCATGCGCCTGACCCACCCACCTGTGGCTCCCCCAGTTCCTGACCATCCCTCCTAAGATCCACCCCACTGACAGTGACTTGGGCATAAAGGACTGACCACCTTCCAAAATGTCACATTGAATGGGGTTATACCCGCCCACCCTGGACCCTGCCTGACCCAGGTGGTGGCACCTGGGTGTCCGAGAACAGAAAGGTGATGGGCAGGTTTTGTAGGCCAGCCTTGAGCAAGACCTTCTTGACATCTTCTCGCCACTCAGTCATGCCATAGCTCTTGGATAGCTCAATCTGGAAGCACTCATACTCGGCCCTGGAGATGAGTTGGAAAGCGGTGTGATAAAGCTTGGGCAAGTGCGGAGGGGTTAGTAGGTGTCCATGCCCCACCCCAGCCATGCGGGGACTTGCTCCCACTCTGAGCACATCTGCAGACTCTTCAGACCCTGACCTGCCTCTTGCCTCCAGACCTTCGTTTGAGCTGTTCCCTAGACCTGAAATGCCTTTCTCTTCCACCCTCCCAGCTCTGATTCTGAGAGCAAGCCCATGGCTACCACCTCTATGAACCCCTCCTGGATGAGTACATGTACACCCCCTTCCCACAGCAGCACAGGGCACTGCTGCTGCCTCTCCTTGTACCCCAGATCCCATTGCTAGTCCTTCCAGAAGCCCATGGGCTGAGAGGGGCTGGCTTGGGGCTGCCCTGCGTTCCCAGCACTGTGGAAGGACATGGAAGGAACCCACAGTTTGCCACCAGCTGCCCACCAGCCTGGGACCCTCACATGTGCGAGGTGAGCCGCGTGAGGGAGCTGCGGCCGCTGCCGCCCACGCCCAGCAGGAGCGCATTGCCCAACGCCTGGCGCAGGGTGCGGCTGATGCGGCAGATGTGGCTCAGGGCGTCCATGAAGAGGACCAGCTTCAGCTTGGCTGTGTTGATCTGGTTGTAGTCCTCCATGTATTCCGCAATCACCTGCATCATCTGGGGGGATGGGGAGAACTGGTCCTCCCTCTGTGCCTGTGCACCTGCACCCCTGAGGGGAGGTGCACCCCTTCCCATAGCCTGCCCTGCTCTGCTGTGCATGGGAAGGGTATTGGGTTTTAAGAAGCCAAGTCTGCCTGAACCATATACTTGTCCTTAGAGATGGGTCAAGTGGGACCAACTGTACCTATTCGACAGGTGAGGAAACGGGACTCAGAGAGGCAAATACTGGCCTGAAGTCCCAGAACCGGACTTCTAGCCCAGTGTCCTGACGCTCAGTCTGTTACCAGTGGCTGCAGAGGGCTTAGGTCCCAGGGGTGTAGAGTGAAGAGGCCCCCACCAGGAGTAGGCTTCTTACCTTCTTCTCGCTGGTGATGAGCTCGTAGGACTTGACGTCAGAGCCTGGTGACATGAAGTCCCCATAAAGGAGGGGCTGAAAGGGGCAAACCTTACTGAAGGCTACCTCCCATTTCTCCATGTGGCCCTCAAGGAGCTTGTCGAACCAGGTGCGGTCCTCCTCGTTCACCAGGCGGTCACGGAACACACGGCAGTTCTCATGGTACCACAGTCGCAGCAGCTGCACTTTGTCCTGAGGCCACCTCAGCGTCAGTGCCCACCCTCAGCCCTGGGTCCTTAGCCACCTTTCAAAGTACCAGGAGTGGGAGGGTGTGGGAGTAGCAGCTCTTGGGCCTGGCTACCACTGAGCCCAAGCAAGGGCCATTGCAGGGGCGGCCTGAAGGTGCACCAGCTGACCGACAGGGCTGAGTCCTGCAGAGTGCTGCCCAGGCCGCCCCACCCCCAGCTCAGCCCAGTGCCTGCTGGGCATCTAGCTCCATTAGCCCGTCATGGCTGCTCCTCTCTAATGGCTCCCATGGCTCCCCAAACTCTCAGCCTGGGAGGAATGCCTGATTCGATTTACACCTTCACAGTACCTCACATCTAACCACTTAGCAAATGCCACTGATCGGATCCTCTGACTCTGCCCCCATCTCTCTGCTGCCACTTCCATCCCAGCTTCCCTGCCTCCCCTGGGTGACTAGACCACCCTCAGGAAGCCCCAGGCTCTTCTCTCAACTCCTTTGGCTATAGCTTGGCAGGGCCAGGGCGCTTCTGTCTTGCTCGCTCTCTCCCCCTGGTCCCAGGCTCCACACACTCTCACCGGTCAATTCTCCATTTCACAGATGTGTTCCCCACCTGCCCCTGGCGCCCTGGCTCCTTCAGGACGCTGTGCCCCCGGCAGCCTGTCCAGTACACCTGACACCCTGCTCCCCACTGTACTCCCTGCTCCCCACAAGTCTTCTCACACCAGGGCCTCTCTGCCTGGCCCCGCCCTGGCTCCCTCTTCTGTGTGGCCCCATCACTGCTGCTGGGCTTGACCTGTGAGACGGAGCTCAGCCGCACAAAGGAAGCGCTCCTGGGGCCTGGCCCCACCCAGGATGGGGAGTTTGGGCAGGGAGGCCTGAGACTGGGGGGCTGAGGGCAGAGCGGGCAGAGCGGGCACTTCTCTACTGGACTCTGGGGAGGGGCCTGCCTGATCCTCACCTCAACCCTGGCTGGGTCAGCCATGAGGATGCCCTGGAAGACCTTGGAGAGGTCCCTCAGGTTGAAGGTGTAGTGGGACTTGGCTGGGGTGGGCAGCAGCTGGGAGGTGATGGTGGCGTACACCATGATGGTAGCTTCCACGAGGGGATCCGCGAAGTGGACGATGTTGGGGGCCCCGGCTGTGGGAATAGGAGTGGGCCTGGGTCACACAGGCAGGAGCTCCCTGTGCAGCCTCTGAAGGTCCTAGCCTCTGCCCTTGCTGGTGCTGTGTTCTCACCGACACCCCTTCTTCAGGCAGCATACTTGGACTCTACCTACCCTTCTGCCTCTCTCAGATGTGGTCTCCTCCACCAGGCCTTCCTGATGCCCCCCCTCCCTCAGGGAGAGGAGGCTCCTGCTCCGAGTGTCCCCCTTTTGCATCCTTGTCACTAACAGCCTGTGCACTGGGGCACTGGTCTGCATTCAGTGCTGGTGAGCTGTGACTCCCAGACCTGACATGCCAGTTCTGAGCCACGTGTGGGGAGGGCCACGTGGTCCCCGTGGGCTCAGGACTTCACGGTGAGTGCGGGGGCTGGCGCTCAGCCCTGACCCTCAGGCTCACCTCGGAGCTGCTGCAGCCTCCAGCCTGCCTCTTCACCACTAACAACCTATTTGCTTGCTCTTTGAAAACTACCAGTTCTTTGCTGGAAACCACAGTCTGTCAGCAGGAACTTGGGGCAGAGGGAGCCCCCAGGATTGGGAAAAAGTACAGAAGGGTAGGAGGGCTCCCGAGCTCCAGATGGGGCTCTTCTGCACACGCCGGTGCTGTTCTGGTCCTGGGCACAGACATGCCTCACCTCAACACGTGAACATGCTTGTGGGGAGACAGACTGACAGACCACGTGCAGGCGGACAGGGAACGGGACGGAAAGTGCCATGGAGAGACTGGTAGCAGGAGAGGTCAGGGAGAGCCAGGTCGGGATTCCGACAGGCCTCGTGGAGGAGGGGCCTCTCCAGAGAGGGGACTTGGAGGGCGAAGGCCCTGAGGTGGGCACACCTGGGTGTTAAGGACCAGCAGGAGGAAGTGAGGGCACAGGGACCAATAAGGTGGTTTTGCTTGCTACTGTTGGAGGTTGGGGCATGAGAGAGAGAGAGAGAGAGAGAAAGAGAGAGAGAGAGAGAGAGAGAGAGGATATGGTCTGATTTAGTGTTTGAATGGGTCCCTCTGGCTACAAGTGGAGGATGGGTGGACAGAAGACAGACAGATGGATGCAGGGTGAAGGAGAAGCAGGAGTTCTGGCTACAAGTGGAGGATGGGTGGACAGAAGACAGACAGATGGATGCAGGGTGAAGGAGAAGCAGGGGTACCAGGGAGAGGGCTGCTGCTAGGGCTGGGTGAGTGAGGGTGGGCTGTGGCTGGGTGGCTTCCGGAGGGACAGTCAGCAGGATCTCCTGAAGATGTGAGTGAGTGAGAGAGGAGGCTGGATGACGCTAAGGCTCTTGTCCTGGGCGCCTGGAAGGACAGCTGCCATCACCTGAGAGGAGGGGCCTGGGTCCGACAGGCTCAGTCTGACGTGGTGGACGTGGGAGGAGCCTGGGTCAGGGCTTTGGGGAGAGGCCTGGGCTGACGAGGATGGGTTTTGTTGCTGGGGCGGGAGGGATGCCTGGGGACACCTGGTCAGAGGGAGAAGAGGCTGGAGAGCGAGCCCCCATCAGTCTAGGAAGAGGTGGCCGGAGAGAAGGAGAGGCCAAGGCTGCCGACAACCAGGGCAGGTAAAGACCAAGAGCTGACCTTTGGTCTGGCCACACGAGGCCGCGGGTGACAAGAGCACTCCTAGGGCAGTGTGGGGCTCAAGGGACAGTGGGAGGAGACAGCGCTTCGGAGGGGTTTTCTGTCCAGGTGAGCACAGTGAGCACAGAGATGGAGCGATGGCCCCGGGGAAGTGGGGAGGGGCCGAGAGAAGTGCTTTCGTGTCTGTTGTTAAGATGAAAGTAACCAAGACAGTTTGCACGAGCACCACTGGTGTGGAGGGTGCAGGCGGAGCCACATCTTCAAGCAGACAGCAGGGGGTGGGATTCGGGTCTGAGAGGGGGGCTTGGCCTCACCAGGAAGTAGGGACGTTCATTGCCCAAATAGGAGAGGGTCCTGAGGGAGGCCTGGGTGCAGGGAAGCAGCGGGTGTGGAGGACTAGAGAGGGCTGTCTCCTGATAGCCTCTCTCGGCTGACGGGGAGAAGAGGTGGCACACGAGGTGGAGAGAGAGCTCTGGCGTGTCCATAGCCCTGCTGCAATGACCGACAGACTGCTTCACGAGGGCTGCCCACCCCCCGCTGCGGGTCCCACCCCCTCAAGTCCAGGCCCACTCTTTGGACAGGCTGCTCTCTTTGGAGCCTCTGCTTCCTCAGACAGGGTAGAGATTGTTGGATTCCTTTATTCATTCACTTAACTCACATTTACTTGGCTTCTACTACGGGCCAGACACTAACCCAAGCACTGAAGGACCGACCGCTAGAAGAGGGGTGAGTGAGCCCAGGAAGGCCGTCAGCCCCAGTGCTAACCTGTCCCCAGTCCCCGCATGAGCCTGAGGATGGTCCACTGTGGCCCCTGGTCCTGCCTCAGCCACACCTGCCTGGAGCCCAAGGCTCATTCAGAGCCAGAGTCCCCTCCCATCCGGGCCTGTACTTACGCACGGGGTCCCGGTGACTTTTCTCTCCAAGGAGTCCATCTAGGAGGGGTTGAGAGAGATGAGGCTTGGAGTTACGTGGGCTCTTTGCTGCCCACCCTGGCTGACGGCTCCCAGAGTAGCCACCAACCCCCCTGCCTGGAGCAATGTGGCCCACGCCCCTAAGCTGGGCATGTAGATACATCTGGCCTGTAGCACCAGGGGGACATGGTAGGCAAAACCAGAGGAGAAAGAGCCTGAGGAAGCTTGACTCCCAGCAGGCATAACCTGGCACAGTGCTAGGTGGAGTGCACAGGTCAGAGCGTGTGCTAGGAGGGCTGGAGGGGAAAACTCTGTGCTGGGGTGGACTTGTCCTCACGCCCCAAGAAGGATCAGGGCCACTTTGTCCATTCTTTTTCTTGTTGTTGTTAATTCTCACCTGAGGATATTTTATCCATTGAATTTTAGAGAATGGAAGGGAGGGGGAGAGAGAGAGAGAAACATCGATGTGAGAGACACATCCATGGGTTTCCTCCCGCATGCACCCCAACTGAGGCTGGGGATTGAACCGACAACCCAGGTATGTGTCCTTGACTGGGAATCGAACCCACGGTCCTTTGTTGTGAGGGCCAATGCTCTGTTCCCTGAGCCACACTGGCCAGGGCTGTCCATTCTATCTTGATGGCTTTTCCTGAGTTCCAAAAGTAAATCCTTCCACCAGCGTTTCTGAGCAAGTACTAACGGATACGTGGGTACTTATGCAGGTAAATGCACATGTGTACACATGTGTATATCAGCAGTCACCACCTGCCAGGTTTCATGCTGGATGCTCTACATACAATGTCTTATTTAACCTTCAGGACTTGGGGTGGTGGGTACTAATATTATCACCCATTTTACAGATGAAGAAACTGAAGCTCAGAGAGGGTCATGAATTTGCCCAAGGTAACACAGCTGAGTAAGGGGTGAAGCCAGGTCAGTGGTTCAGCACTCCCCACTTTCCAGCAGCTGCCCAGCTGTCTGGTGTTGCTTACTGGACCTTTGCCATGCACTCCCCCACCTCTGCCCCGTGCTCACCCATCCAACTGCCCAGGATGGTGGAGAAGATACGCTTCTTGCTGACCTCGTCCATCTCAGTGAAGGACAGGTGATTGAAGTGGCGTGTCAGTCGTGGGGTGATGGCATTCCTGCCTCCGCCTGGGGGGCCCATGGCACAGACAAAGTTGATGTCCACCAGGTTCTTGAAGGCTCCTGGAGTGGGGGCAGGAAGTCAGGACAGGGCCCTGCCCAGGGCTGCAGCATGACTCTTGTGGGCCCTAGATACTTCTCTTCATGGGCCTCCTCCTCCATTAAAAAAATTAAAAAATGCCCTGGCAAGTTTGCTCAGTGGTTAGAGCATCGGCCTGCGGTCCAGAGAGACCCGGGTTCGGGTCCCACTAAGGGCACGTACCTCGGTTGCAGTTTGTCCCCGGCCCTGGTTGGGTTGTGTGGGTAGCAACCACTCGATGTGTCCCTTTCACGTCGATGTTTCTCTCTCTCCTTTCCTCTCTCTCCCTCCCACTCTATCTGAATAAAAAATAAAAAAGTGTCCTCGGGTGAGGATAAAAAAAAAATATTAAAAATTATAATTTACAATAGTATTGGTATAAAGACAAATATATTAATATACATTAAATTTTTCTTTGAGCTAAAAGTTCATTTCCCCCGATTTTAAAATAAAAACTTTTACCCAGCCAGTGTGGCTCAGTGGTTGAGCATCAGCCTGTGCACCAAGAGGCTGCCGGTTCGATTCCTGGGCAGGGCACATGCCCAGGTTGTGGGCCGAATCCCCAGTGGGGGGCATGTAGGAGACAGTCAATCAATGTTCTCTTTCATCAATGTTTCTATCTCTCTCTCCCTCTCACTTCCTCTCTCTCTAAAACCAACAAAGAAAAAAAATGTTTTTAAATAAAACCTTTCTTTGGACCCTCTAAAAGTCCCATAGGCCTAGGGACTATGTCCCATGTGCCTACAGTGCCTGATGGAGGAGTGCCCTGCTCTACCCAGCACACCCTGCCTGCTCCCTGCTGCCCCGGGCCACAGGCACGCACCGATGATCTTGCGGTCATACCAGCCCCCATGGTCCATCCACTGGCGCAACAGCTCGATAGGGGGCTGGGCACCATACGTCTCCAAGGCCGGCATGTTCAGGTCATCGATGAAGAAGATGAAGTTACGCCCCAGGGGTGGTCCAAACACACCCTTCCTCCTATGAGGAGGGGCTGTGTGAGCCCAGCACCCATGGGCACCAGGTGTTCTGGGAATCCAGGGGCAGCTTCTGGAAAGCCCTCACTAACTTCAGCCTCGTCTGAATTACTGAACCTCTTGAGCAGTCCCTTGTCCCATCCTGAGTGTCCGAGACATCACACCTGGCTGCCCTAAGTCTGGTCTCCTGCAAGGTGAGTCTTGCCTCCCAGGCATAAGGCTAACAGGCCCCGCCCAAGTGCCAGTCCAGGGCAAGCCCCCGGGGAAGGGCTCGGGCTCGATAGGAATTCCTGATAGGAGAAGGCTCCAAACAGTCTTTGAGGGAGCCCCGCAGCCTCCCCCAAGCCGGGAGTTTTCTGGCAAAGGCGCATGATTTAGTGGGGAGGTGAGACAGCAGGCGGCTCAGCCAGGCGGGGTACTGGAGCCTAGGAAGGAACGAGGAGTGCCTGCCTCTTGTCCAGCTTGCTGTCAATGAGGTCCTGGGTTTGGTTGGCCGAGGTGCGGGCTGAGAAGGTGAGGAAGTGGCTGATGAACTCCAACGGCAGGTTCTTCAGGAGCTTGTCAGAAATGGTGAGGGTCTTCCCTGTGCCTGTTGGGCCGATGCACAGCACCTGGGAGAGCGGGGGTCACGTAGGCAGAGCTCACCCACAGTGCAGGGCAGGAGTCAGCCACCCTGACCTGGGCCTTGGTGTGTGGTGTGGCGGGGCATGGCGGGACACTCACGGGCTTGTGGTTGGTGAGGAGCATGCCCAGCAGGTAGGACATCTGCACGGTATCCATGGTGGGCACGATGATGTTGCAGTAGTTGGTGTCTGGCATCATGGTAAATGGGGATGAAGAGTCCATCCACTTCACCCAGGCGATCTGGAGACACAGGTGGCTCAGGGCTGGACCGGAACCCCTCCCCACCCCATCCCTGGAAGGTGCAGCAGGAGGGCAAGGGGCTGCACTGCTGGGACTTGGCAAGAGGGCCCAGATGAAGGGCTGCTTCGGACAGAAATAGGAAGCCCCGTGCCCTGCCCTCTGCCTGGGTGGGGGACTTCCAGAACAAACCACAAGGGATGGGGGCTGCCCTGCACATAGCTGCCTCCAGTGGGAAGCTCCCTAGGGACTGCTAGTCCCTAGGTCTCTACATGGAGGAGGTGCTCTGGGAATTGGACAACTCAGAATGAAAAGGTCTTTGCTGTTTAGTTTCAGGCTGCCCAAGAGTGTGGGGATGCTGGCATCTCCTGGACACTCAGAAGTCACCTGGCCTGGTCTCCCACACCATCACCAGCATTAATCCCTTTACCCACAGCCCTGACCCAATTTGTAGACCTTGGTGGGGATACTCACTATGATCAAACCAGCATGTCCCACTGGGGACAGTTCTCACCGTTAGACTATGTGCCCTGTGAGGTTCCCAGTAGGACCCTGCACTGTGACCATCTCTGTAAATGTCATTCTGCCCCTTCCTCTTTCTGAATGAGGTAGGCCTATGGAGTCCTCACTGGCTGATAGGAGGGGTGGGAACACTGGGGCAGGACATGGGGACTTGCTCTCCCACTCTTGGGGAGCCCAGGCCCTGACAAATGGGACTTTTAAGTAAAACAGAGGCAGCCAATTCTGGACTTAACAACAATAGAGGAGACAGTGCATGTGGTTGAGAAGGGAGGTGCTCTAACAGTCTCCAGATGCAGGTTCAAGTCCTGCGTCGAGCTGGGCGTGACTGTTCTGAGACTTAGTCTCCTTGCTTGGGAAATAACCACCCTGTGGGCCTGTGAGGAGTCACGGGATGATGCACCTAACCCCAGCCTGAGACCTGTGGCTGTCAACATGGCCTCCTCTCTCTAGTCACTCTTCACCAAAGAGGACAGTCACCACCCAGTGGGGCCCTCCCTGTCCTGTCCCCGCAGGGCAGGCCTGCAGTCACCTGCTTGCCCTCCTCCTCCTCTTCCTCATCATTGGTATTGCTGATGCCAGCGTCCTCCAGCCTGTAATCGAACACCAGCCCCTCCTCTGGGAAGAGCATGGTAATCTGCAAGGAACCAAGAGGAAAACCAGGTTGTGAGGCCCAGGATTTGGTGTGGCTATTTGTCGCTGGGGGCTTGGCCCAGGGCACAGCCCCAGAACACCCAGCATTCAGCACACGCATCCCAGACCTGGGAGCCCAGCCAGGCGGCTGCCCCCTCTCACGTTTTCTATCTTCATTCTGATCCTGAGCCAGTGGCTGAAGCTGCTGCGGCCGACACTGTCCCCTGTGGCACCCACACTCCAGATCAGGGAGAAGATGAACCAGGGCTCAATCAGCTCGGGGATGCGGCTCAGCTTTTCGGGGGGTATTTTCTTGAGGCCCTGGGGACAGAAGGGACCGCATCAGGTGAAGGCGGGAATAGTACTGAGTGACCCGAGGAAGCTGGCAGGAGGGGGACATCCCTTGGTCTGCACTGCGGTCTTGTGTCCTCAGCAGAATGGCCGGGGCGTTCCCGTGACCCCGGTGAGCCGATCCAGCTCTCTCCCAGGAAGCGGACTTGGGATGCAGGGCCCGCAGCCAGCCCGGCCGCCCGCCCGCTGCTCAGAGCCGCACCTCTTTAGGCACAAAGGGCTTGAAGAAGCAGTCCAGCAGCTTGAGGAGACTCATGGTCAGGTTGCTGTCAGTGGAGGCAATCACCTCCTTCACCGAAGCCCGCAGGAAAGTGATGGCTTTCTGTAGGGGATGGCACCCGCTCCTGTGGCTGGTGGACACAGCGCCCTGCTGTCACACCCGGGCCAGGCAGACTGTGGCCTTACTTACCTCCAAAAAATTGACAAAGAGCGTGATGAAGTTCTCCTGGTAGGGCTTGAATGAGGCAGGGAGCCTCTTCAGCCAGCACTCGACAAAGGGCATGAGCCCCAGGATGCTGGGCTCCAGGTACACCATGCCACAGCGGGACACTGTGGCTGGAGAGGCCACCGCCAGATCCTGCACCTCAAACATCATGGTCATCTCCTGGCATCGAGATGAACTGTGTGAGAGGGCCAGCTGCCAGACCCCGGGGCCAGGAAAGGGCTGCAGGGCGTGGGGAGGGGTTGCTCATCCGGTAGCTGTGGGCAGGTGGGAGCAGTGGGCCAGGGACAGAGCTGGGGTGTGGGAATACGGGAACCCCTTGGCCCTCAGCTGGCAAAGTGGCCCTCCCTCGAGTCCCGAGGAGGAACATGAGTCAAGAGATTCCTGGGAGCTCTCTGGCTAGCCTGAGGTCAGGGCATGCGGGGGTCCCAGGAGCCCTGGGGAAATTTGATGGGAGCTGCGTGCCTGCACCTGTGTACATGGACACACCTTCACATTGACCTCCAGCTGTTCTCAGGAGGGCTCAAGAGATGGGCTCAGTGCAGACAAGGTGAACTGCCCTTACTCCCAGGTAATAACCCCCCTCCTCTGAGAAGTGCCCCTCACACACCAGGAAGACGTCCCTATGGCCAGGTCTGTACCACCTGCCCCCAGACTCTAGGCACATTGCCAGAACGGTGACCTAGACTGGGCCCACATGCCTCAAAGCGGGCTGAGACGCACGAGGCAGCATCGGCTGGGAGCGGTGGGGGTCGTCCCAGCCCGGGGCCCAGAGCACCAAGAAGGCGGGTCTGCTGAAAGGGCAGCACCTAGCCACCGTCAGGACATGCTGAGGAGCAGGAGCTCAGGGACAGGGAGGGTGCTCGGAGGGCCTGAGAGGCAGCTGTGGCCTGAGGGGAGGGGTGGATGGGGCACGATATGGCTGGCACAGTATGGCCCACCCAGCTGCGGAGGAGAGCAGGTGAGTGGACAGGCGGGTGCACCTCTGTGAGCTTGATGATCTCCCCCGAGCTGAGGCACAGCTTCTTGTTGTCATCCAGCACCGTGTTCATGTTCTCGATCCAGATGGCGTCCACTGGCCCATCGAACATGTACCACTTCTTGTTGGCGTTGGGCGTGGCTGCCCCCGTGCGGATGAGGGAGGAGAGAATCCCGTCTGTCCTGCAGCCAGCAGGGAGGGGAGGGCTGCAGGCGCCAGGCCGGCAAGGTGCAAGCACAGCCGGCCCCAAGGAAACCTGCCCCCCAGGCTGCCTGCCCTGCCTGCGTTTCTTTTTCTTCATTCTTCAATCTCTTCATTCGTTTAAAAAATTTAACAGGGAAAATAGGATTTTTTGGTATAACATGAAAATGAGTACTTATATTCACTCTGCTGAATCCCCACTAGTTATATTAAAGAAGATAAAAGATGACATCTGGTAAAGAAAAGGGAAGTAAGGGAGGAGACAACCGCAGAAATAGGGGCCCACAGTTCTGGAGGAGGGATGATCAGCAGAAAAAGCAGGCGATGGGTTGTGAGATGTGTCTAGTTCCTGCCAGAGTCAGGAAGGCTCAGATCTCAGAGGCACCGAGTACCAGGGAGGGGCTGCCGGGGCACATTTTTTTGGTCTGATCTCCAGGTCCTCCATCCACCCACCCACACAGGAGCCTGGAGTGGATGTGGGTAAGACCCTTCACCAGAAACGAGGGAAGCAGGCCAGGCCTGCCTCAGAAAGACAGTGACTCCCCCTCCAGAGCCCACCCCACACGGGGTCCAGAACACTGACGCCAAGCCAATACCCCCGCAGGAGCCTGGAGGCTTCTTTGGAGATACAGAATTTCCCCAGAGGAAACAACCCTTAGGTTCTGACGTTGGGAGGGTCCCAACCCAGCTGCCATTCTCCCAGCTCACTTCCTTTCGAATGCACGCCTCCAGGGAACAGCCCCGAGGGGACCAGCAGCCCCTCGTGAGCAATGACACAAGTCCCCTGAGCACTTGCTGTGTGCCACAGCGTCCAGGCATCTCTCATGTGCCCAGGTCATTTTCTCCTCTCCACAGTAATGGTGTCATTAAAAAAAAAAATCTCTACTTTGTGATGAGGGGACCAAGGCCCGGGAGGCGAGGAAGGTCACTGGGCCAAGAAGTGCAGTGGTGGGGAGAGCCCCAGGCTTTGGGCCTCAGACCTTTCACTGGGTTAGAGGAAGGAGAGGGGCCCAGGGCCTCCAGCCTCCAGAGCTCTTGGAGCAGAGCTGTCACCGGAGAGGAGTCCGGAGTCAGGGGGCACTCACCACTCATGGGTGAGCAGGTCAAACTCCCCGTACAGCTGGCCCATCGTGATGGACTTGGGGTTGAGCACATAGTAGCTGACAGCCTCGTACACACCACCGCTGATGCATGGCTGCCCTTTCAGCAACGTCATGGCAGCTGCCAGGACTCTGTAACACTGGGGACACAGGCACCGACAGTGAGCCCCTTGGCCTCTCGGAGAGAGGACTGGAGTGGGCTGTGGGCACAGGGGGCAGGAGGTGTTCTCGAGACCAAGAGGTGCAAATGGGGATCAAGACTCCTGTTGAGGCTGAAGCACCTTCGGGCCCACTGTACTCACGTTGCTCTTGCCGGAGCCCGTGGGCCCCACGAGCATGAGGCCGTGGCGCACCACCGTGGTCTCGTAGAGCTGGATGCACTTGGTCAAGAAGCCTGAGGGGGCACAGTAGGGGCACCAGGGGTCAGAGTGTGGGCTTAGGTCATCTCTGCCACGAGCTGGCTGTGTGCCCTCAGATGGTCACCTCACTCCCTGAGCCCGTTTCCTCGTCTGTGAAATGAGGCCACGTAGTCCTCATGGGCGGGGGCAAGGGAAGCCCTAAGCACAGAGCCTGGCAGAGAACAGGAACTCCTGGTCTCCACCGGGACTCTTACTCCCACATGGACCTGCTCAGTGTCAGCTGTCACAGGCCCACAATCAGCTCTGGCCCTAAAGCTACTGCCCAGCCTGTAGAGAGCAGTGCCCTGAGTCAGTGCGGGTCAACACAAGGCAAAATCCCAAAGACAAAATCTGAGGGTCAGTCAGGAGCTTTAACTGACCGAGACCGGTTGTGGGGACAGCCAGGCCGTGCCGGTAGCAAACGAGAGTGTGTGGGAGAGGAGGCAGTGGTGGCACTGCAGGTCGGGGATCCTTGTCAGAGGGACAAGGCTCATCCAGTGATGGCAAAGCTGACCCAAGATCCCGGCTTCACTCAATGAGCCTGCTGGGGCTGGCGGGCAGGAGGTGGTGTCAGAGCCACTGGAAGGAGCAGTGGAGGCCCGGGACAGGCTTGCAGCATGAGCACGTCAGGCCCCAGAGGAAGGCCCCACGTGGTCAGGGTGGCGGTGTGACTTCCTGGAGGAGAATCATTCTGCTTCCCAAAGGACCGCCTGGGAGGGTCTGGGAGGAGGAGAGGGCACCCAGCTGGGGCTGTGGGGACAAGAGCTGTGTGCCCAGATGATGGCAGCGCTGAGACCCCCAGTTTCCATCAGGGACGTGGGGGTCGGTTCATAGGAAGTCTAATTGAGCTTGGTGTGTCCCCCCAGCCCCTCCAGCTGCATGCTGGCTTTGTACCAAGCCAGCTCAGGAAGGGCCCACATGCTCCCATGACACCAGGAACATGAGCAAGTCCCACAGGCAGGAGCAGCATGCTTTGTTTGTGCGTGGAGCCCTCCTTCCAAAGGGAGGGGTGTGGGCTGCGGTGAGGTGGGGTGGACAGGCCACAGCTCACCATCTTCCCCCAGGCATGGCATCAAGCCCCAGTCATGCATGGGGCAGAGGACAGCAAGCCCCAAGGGGGGCCCAAGTGCTGGGACTGCTTCTCACAAGGGAGGAGAGGCTACAGCATGAGGTCTGGGGAGGGGATGCCACCTGCTTCCTCGCTGTGAAATAATAAATATATACTGGTCTCCGTCTTGGTCCCTGAGACAGAGCTCCTAGACCTTTGTAATTTCTGAGTGCTGGGAACTCTTGGTCTAGCGAGGCAACTTTTGATGCAGAGCTCCTGGGGCGGGGGGCTGGTTACCGAACCACCAAGCCATGATTAGAAGCTTGGAACTCACAGGCCCACCCCCATCCTCTGGAAAGGGGAGAGGAGCTGGAAATGGAGTTAATAATTGATCCTGCCTACGTGGTGAAGTCTCCATACACATCCCCAAAGTGCAGGGTTTGGAGAGCTTCAAAGTACAGGTTGGTGAACACATCCACATGCTGAAGGGTGACATACCCCAAAACTCTACGGGGACAGATCTTGCCCTATGTACCTCTTCATCTGCCTGTTCATCTGTATCCTTTTTTTCTAATCCTCACCCGAGGACATTTTTTGTTCAGATAGAGTGGGAGGGAGAGAGAGAGAGAGAGAGAGAAACATTGATGTGAAAGGGACACATCGAGTGGCTGCCACCCGCACAACCCTGGGCCGGGGACAAACTGCAAACGAGGTACGTGCCCTTAGTGGGAACCGAACCTGGGTCTCTCTGGACTGCAGGCTGACGCTCTAACCGCTGAGCCAAACTGGCCAGGGCCATCTGTATCCTTTATTATATAATAAACCAATAAACCTAAGCAAATATTTCTCTGAGTTCTGTGAGTCGTTCTAGCCAATGAACAAACCTGAGAAGGGGGTCGTGGGAATCTCTGATTTGTTGCCAAGTAAGACAAAAGTTGTGGGTAACTTGGGGACCCACTACATGTAACAGGCATCTGAAGTGGGGACAGTCTTTGGAACTGAGCCCTTAACCTGTGGGGTCTATGCTAATTCTGATCAGTGTTGGAATTGAATTGAATTTTAAGACACCAGCCGGAGTCTGAATTGGTTGGTGTAGGAACATCCCACACATCTGGTGTCAGAAGCATAGTGTGAGAGTACAGGAGTGTTTTCTAGACAGCCATCACCTGAAGGGTTCTCGTGGAGACAGGGCTGGGGCACCTGCCTTGCCCCATGAACTGCTTGACAGAGAGCCCCAGCCTGCAGCACACTTGTCCAGGCATGAGGCTGGTCTGCCCGTCTCTGTTCCCCCACCCAGGATCCCAGGGTGGCTGGAGCCAGCCCTTCCTAGACACCCGCAGGACTCACCATCCACGTCCTTGAGGTTGCTCTGCTCACAGGCCCTGCGGATGGCCTTGTCCAGGATGCCATAGTTAGTGTCCTCCTCCTTGATGGTGGGGAACAGGTCAGACACAATCCCAGAGAAGAGCTTGAGGTCTTCCTGCAGGAACTTGGGCACGTTCACGTCACGAATGGCCCGGAGGCAGATCAGCTCCTGCAGTGAGTCCAGAGGAGCCTTCAGGGTGGCCCAGGCCAGATGCACCTCCAGCGGCTCAGGTGCCCCCTCCCACGCACCCCTCTGGACGGCACTCACCTCATTCATGCTGGGGTTTTCTCGCTTGAGGTTCCCCGCAGCTGAGATCACAGTTTTCACAGCTCTCATCCCGAAATCATAGTGATCCTGTTGCCGCCGTAAAGGAGTGGGGGACACTGTCCCTTTCGGGGCTTCTTTCTGGAACACTGCCTCCCACCTCGTACTTAGCCCATTGCCGTTTGCTGCTAAAATGTCACTTCCCCTGAAGGCCCTCTATGACCACCTGTGCCCAGCGGGGCCTGCCACCCTCTGCCTCACCAGCAGTCCTCTCCTTTCACCCAGGTACTTACTCTGTGTCCCCTGCTCGACTCCTGGCCTCCGGGTAAGGGCTTAGCCTTGCTTGCAGCTAAATCCCTGTCATCCCAGCATGGTCGAGAGCGGGGGGAACTCGTGTTTTATTCACAAAGTGAATAAAGGAATTTCCCATGTGTGCCATGAATGAGTTGGCTTCCTTCTAAGATTCTCTCGTAGCATCTCTCCAGACCCACCCTTTCTGTCACACCACCGTGACTTTCCCACTGGTCCTGGTTCTCTTCATTACATGGCAGGTATTGGGAATAGTCAAATTATCAGATTGCCCCAGGGTGCTAGATCACGAGAATACATCTGGGTCTGTAGACAAACACATTTCCCAGAAATCTTGGATTTAAATGAAGAGACTGGCCTTGACTTTGGGTCACTGTCATTTGAGAAGTGGTGAGGTTATTTCCAGAACCACGTGGGAATAGTTGCTCTAATAGAGGAAAGTATTTTGAAAGTGGATGGTTAGAAGGAAGGTGTGTGGGGGTGTCAGCACCCAGGACGCACTGTGGTGGACAGCTGTTTTTCCCACTAACAGATTGCACTCCTCCAGCCCATAGCCACAGTGGTTGGTATTGAGGCATGAACAGGTCACCCAGAGAGGGTGTGTTAGGGTGCTCCTAGGGACTTTTCCTGAAACTATTAGGAAAGAGAAACTAAGCTGGTGGCATGTGAGCCCAGACAGAGCTGGGGCTCACCATTCTCACTGCAGATAATGGAGCCAAACGGGAAAGCTCTTCAACAGAGCTAGTGCCTGGACCAACGGACTCTATCCCTGAAACCTGCGCTCAGCATGCTGAGTGGAAGGCCCACGGCTGGGAGGCTCAGGTGGGGGCCTGGCTACCCCACTCTGTCCTCACGAGACCCAGGTGCACTTGATCTGAAGCCTTGGGTTGAGTGGCTCTTGGCCTCCTATTGGTGGACCCTCTCCTGCACCTGAACTAGCGGGGCGGACATCTGTTCCTGGCTCCTGCTCCAGCTCCCCTGTGCACCGCATGAGCCAGGCCAGTCTCTTAGCTGCTTAGGGTCTCAGTGTCCTCAGCTGAGAGACGGGGATGTAATTCCTAGTTTATGGGGTTGCTGGGGGCAGACAGCGGCTCTCAGACTCTGGAACCTGGTTAGGGCAGGGCCTCACCTGAGAGCTAAGCTGCTCAGAGGATAACTTGAAGGTGGTTGTGATCTTCTTGGCCAGCACATTGGCTTCATTGAAGCCGAAGGAGTAGAGGGAGATCTCAGCGATCATGGCGTAATCCGGAACCATCATGGCCACGGGCCGGAAGAGTGCCTGGGGACCATGGTGCACGTGTGAACAGAGAAGCAGACCTCCCCTCCCAGAGCACTACCCGCTTTATGGACTCTCGGTTCTCAGGGGGCAGCTTCACTACCCTCCTCCCCTGCCAATGTTTGGATCCCCTCTGCAGCATGCCTGCCATAGCTGAGGCGTACGCTCCCCTGTGGCTGGACCACTCTGCCTGTTAGAAATTGGTCTTTTGTGCTTACCTGAATCTGTCCCCTGACTAGGGATGAGCCTGGGGCCTTCTTTCCATGCTTGGGGCTGGGCCTCAGGATCCCCGGGCAGGAGGGCTGCCACGGGGAATGACAGTCCCTGATGTCCAGCAGCTGTGTGCCTTGCATAAGTTCTTTAGCATCTCTGAGCCCAGGTCACAGTCTCTGGTGCCTCCCGGTGCCCTGAACTCACCTTCAGGTTGTCAGGCAGCTCAGTGCGGCCGGCATATCCTGGGTTCATAGTGATAAACACTGCGCAGGATGGCATGAGTGGGATCTCAACGCCCTCAAACATGAAGTGTTCCACCTACAGGGTGGCAGGGGTTGACTCACCTCTCCTCCTCTGGATTGGCCCCCTCGTCCCCTGTTGATGCCCCTTTGCTCACTATAGCTAGTCAGCCCAGATTGGCTCCCTGATCATGAACTGGCTCCTCTCTCAAGGTCTGGCCTAAGACCTCTGGTCCTAGTGACTACTGAAAGTCTTCACAAATCTCCTATCTCCCATACTCAGTTCCTAACACTGATGACTTAAGCAAGCTTGGCTCTGCTTCGGGCCCAGGGTTCTCCTGGGCTGGCTTGGGGCACTTGCTAGCCTCGCAGCTCTTGTCCTCAGAAGACTCCTGGCCACTCTGAACAAGGCCAGAGGAAGGACAGATGGAGGGATCCCTTCATCCACTGTAGCTTAGACTGGGAGCTACCCTTAGAGTGGGGTAGGGAGGTGGGGCTCCCTGACAGCTACAACAGACCCCAGGGAAAGCTCCAAAAAGGGGAGGGGGAAGTGCCCAGGCCCCTGTAAGAGGAGAGAGGCTGAGCTCAGGGCAGGCTCGGTGCTTGGCTTCTCACCCTGCAGGTGGGGGTTCAGAAGAGGCAATGAGTGGGAGGCTTGGGAAGTGTGGAAGGGTGGCTCACCCGCTGCTGCTGTGCCTTCTGGATGGTGGTGATCTGCTGTGCCACCACAGACAGCACCTCGATATCAATGCGATTGAACTCATCGAAGCAGGCCCAGGCCCCCGCACTGCATGAGAACATGAGGTGGAGATGAGTCCAGAGCCCACCTGGCACTGCCAGGCCCCTCTGACTCCACCGGGGAAGAAGCCGTCAATAGTCATCTCTATTAGCTCAGCCATAACCCCTCCCCAGTGCCCACAGGGGCTGAGCCTTTGACTCTTGTTGCCCCCTCCTGTCCCTTCCATCATCCCGTGAGGCTCCTCTCGGACAGTGTCCCCAGGAGAGCTCAGCCTTCCTGCCCTGTCCTGTGCCACACTCACAGGCTGCCTCACCTGGCCAGGCCCTTGAAGAACTTGCCCATGGCCATAAAGTCGAGCTGATCAGAGCAGTTGAACACGACAGTCTGGATGGCCAAGGCCTTGCCCAGGTCTTTGGTGGTCTCTGTTTTCCCTGTGCCTGCTGGGCCAGCTGGGGCGCCCCCAAACTTGAGATGTAAGGCACCGGTCAGGGTCAGATAGCACCTGCGGGAGTGAGAGGAGGTACACATGAGCCCTGAACCTTCCTCGGGATTTCCACAGACACAGGGGGTGAGCCTCCCCTTCGTGGGCCCCGTGGATGAACAGCCCTGGCTCCTCCGTCCTCTTGGGTGTGCTCGGCCTGGCTGCTGGGGTCAGGATCGCAGTCTTGCCCAGCGCTGCCCACACCACGCTGTGGCCCTGCAGAGCCTCGCTCAGAGACCCACTGAGGAGGCTGGTCTGGGGCCACACTTCACTCCCCCAACTCAAAATCCGACTGGAAAATCTGCTACTAAACACAGTTGGCATGAGGAAATGATTGATTGCTTTAGATGAAAGTCGATCACTTCATAAAGGGACTTGCCAATTATTCTCTCAAGATGAATTCTTCTGGCACAATGAAAGGAGGATTTGACTGAAAAAAATTGTACAGCTCAGTCCCATTAATATTATTGAGCTATGAGCTTTATGTATCAGCTCACGAAATTCTCATAACCACCCCGAGGAAGCCACAGAGAGAACTAAGGCATAGAGGGGTTGAGTCACCTGCCCAGGGTCACTCAGCCTGTGATAGAGCTAATTTAAACTACATTTTTTCTTTATTGATTTTAGAGAGAGAGGAGGGGAGAGGGAGAGAGAGATAGAAACATCCATGAGAGAACATCAATTGGCTGCCTCCTGCTACCCCCCCCCCCCCCCACCCCGGGGATTTGGCTTACAACCTGGGCATGTGCCCCGACCAGGAATGGAACCGGTGACATCTTGGTGCATGGGTCGACGCTCAACCATTGAGCCACACTGGCTGGGACAGAGCTGATTTAAAACCCAAAGCCCATGTTCCTAATCCAGCAAGCTCTGGTGAACTGGCTGCGCCTTTTGGTCCCTGCTCTTCTGGGCCTGCTTGAGCTGGAGAAAGGGTCCCAGTGGGGGAGGGCATGCAAGGAGGGGGACTCTTACCTGTCGGTGAGGGGTGTGATCACCAGCCTCCCGCTGTTGCCTAGGTACTCATAGCCATAGATGAACTCAGCATTCACGGCTCGAATGTACAGGTCGTTATTTGTCCAGTAGTACCTGGCATTGCAGGAAGATGGGCTCCTGGACCGTGGGGACCACAGGTCACCGAGCAGGGTATGCAGTTGAGGAGAGGTGGTTCTTTTGGTGAATAAAGGCATCAGATACCTCTGCCCAGCATGTCCCAGGAACAATTGTTGATTGACTCTCCACCCTCCCCTGGCCCTGGCCTGTAGCTGCTCTGACCCTGGGGGTAGCTGGGCCAGTGTCCCCTGCCTCCTCACCTCAGCTGAGAGATCCACTCAAAGTCATGCACACTGACCACGTTCTCCTGGATCAGCTTGCCCACCACATCCTTGGCATGGACCTCAATGACGATTAGTGCTGACAGCACTGCCCGCTGCATGCGGGACAGCTTCCCCCGCACCAGGGCCACAAGGTCACTGAGCTGCAGGAGTTGGGGGACACTGTCAGGCACAGTCATGCTAGAGGTAGGCTCTCTCTCCTTTGCATAGAGGGCTTTTGTCAGGAGCAATCGCTCTATCCTGGGGGCTGCTGATGGTCTGGGATGGGAGGGGTACAGGGAGGGCATTGGTCACATGAGAAGTCTGCCAGGGAAGTAAATAAAAATGGAGGCACACACATGGTATCTGCCTCCCCGTAGTGTATGTTGCCACCTGAGCCTTCCATGGCCAGGTGGTGGAGCCTGGTGAGGAGCCAGTGCACAGAGCTGGAATGGCGCAGGGTATGGCTCTCTCCATGACCACCCAGAGAGGGCACCTGCCTGGCCTCAGAGCTCTCCTCAGACCCCCAGTCTCTGCTGCTGGTGCCTGGTTGTAAAACACTCATTTCTGGGGTGTCTGACCTTCTGCTCTTTGGATACAACCCAAGGCCTCTTTCAGGCTCAATACAGGAAAAATCTCTTGGGGGAACTAGGCCCTCCTGGGGTGGGGTATGTGTGGGGAGCAGATGATGCCCCCTTGACTCCTACCTGCTGGGAGAGCTGGGGGAACAGATGGCTACTGAGGTTGCTGGCCTCTAGGGCCTCTGACACTTCCTTAGTCCAGTAGGTCTGGGACCCGGCGATGGTCACCTGGCCAGGCCAGTTCAGAACCCACTGGGTCCTGGTCATCTGGGAAGATAACACAGGCAAGGCTGACGCAGGCAGCTGCTAGTCCTGACCCTACACCCTTTTTTTCCCTTAAATATCATCTGTGCTTTGGCCTTTTGAACTCTGGGTTCAAGTTGTTAATTCCACCTCAAAAGCAGAGAAGCATTACGTTCTGGGCCTCTCAGGGGTGGTCAGAGTCATCACTTCATCAGCAGAGACCTTGAAACAGAGGGTTGAGAGCCCAGGATTAAGGACATATAGCCCTGGGTTCAAACCCTGGCTCTGCCACCTGTGAGTCACATGCCTTCGGGCAGGAAATATCTCTCAACTAACTTTGTAGGATATGGGTTAACCCCCAGCCCTGCTATTGACTGTGTTGACTGAGAGGCTGTGTGGGTGAAGTCCCAGTCCAGGCTTGGCACATAGGGAGTGCTTGAAACATAGTAACAACTGGTTAATATTAGGAGCAAGTCTCATTTTCTGGAGCATATTTTCAGATTCCTCCATGAGTACGCCTCAAGGAGCCCCTGGCCCCAGAGATCCCCTGGCTGACTGAGAACAGCAGCAGTCAAGCAGTCAAGGCTGTAACTTGAGGATGAGGCACACAAGCAGCCCAGCTACGCAAAGAACAAACAAAAGAATGACTAGGCTGGGAGGCTGTGCTGAGGTGGGAGGCATGACGCACTGTGGGGTAGGCCTTGATGGCCATCTCAATGATGTCCCGCATGCTCTTCTTCATGCTGCGTTCCACTTCCCGCAGCCAGTCCTCCACGTTGCTGGACGGGTAGATGGAGAAGGACAACTTCACTTCCTCACCCTCCGCTGAGTACATGTGTGTAATCTCCAAGTCCTCCTGGAACAGCAGCTGTGGGCAGGTGAGCAAGAGTGGGAGTCACACCAGGTGTGCCCAGAGGCTCCGCCCACCACCGCCCCAGAGCTGAACTGCCTGTGCCCTTCATATTCAGAAGAGAGTTCTGTCCCAGGGGTCCCCAACTGAACATCTGTCTTGGCTAGGCCTTCCCTGGCTGTGCATTCGGCAGGATGGGTCTGCTTGTCCCTAGCTGGGGCCCAGCCAGCCCGCTTGGGGAAGGGGCTAACCCTGCCTGTGAGTCCCCTTCTTGCGCAGGCCTGTGCAGCCTCCCTTGTAGGCAAGAATGAGGACAGGGAGAGTCGGGAGCCTCTGGCCTCACGGGTTTCTCAGTCCAGCCAGCAGCAGCTCAGTGTATTGTGAGGACAGGGCCCCCCTGGATGAGCTAAGAGCCAGGGCCTCCTTTTCCTGAGCTGGGGTTTTGTAGCTGACCTTCCTCCCACAGGACACAGGTGCATCTCTGAGGGCCAGGAATCTCACTGCTACCTCATTCCCTGCTGAAAGGACTGGGGCTAGAGAAAAACCGTTCTTGGGAAGGAGTCCCGATGCTCCTGGCCCCGAGCCCAAGGCCCTGAGCCCCAGGCCCAGTCACCCACCCGGGCGATGTTCTCGAAGCACTTGCGCAAGTGGGGCTGCACAGCAGTGGGGTCCTTTGTCTGGGACAAGATCTCAAGTAGTTCATCATCTGACAGGAAGTAGAATCTGCCAAGGGAACAGGGATAAGTGAGTGGGTCAGGCACCCCCTGAGGCCCAGCTGCCGCAGTACCACTGACACCCCTGCCCCCAGCCTGGGTGGGGTCCTCGATGCCCCAGCCTGTGGGCAGGCACTGGCACAGTGGGCATGGGGTAGGTGGTGCCCACCTGGGGAAGGCACTCCTCTTGGTCTCCAAGTACTCGCTGAGGCCCTTTTGTACCAGGTCTAGCAGCTTGTTACAATCCCGCAGGCTGTCCAGCAGCCTCTGGTCAGAGCACACATTAATCACCTGCATGGCCCGGGCCAGAGAGAAACTGGAAGTGAGCATGGTCCAACTAGGAGGCAGCAAGGTGGGCTCAAAGAGCACCCACATGAGCCAGAGACCCTGAGTGGGGCCTGGGAAGGAACAGGGGTCGGGAAATGGTCCTGAGCTAGTGGTTGCGTCCATCACCCCTGTCAGTATCACAGAAAAAGTCCATGGTCAAAAAATTAGGGTTAAGCAAAGCCAAGGGGTTTGTTTTGCTGCAGGACTTTCAAATGTTCAGATAGACGACAAATTTTCATAAGAAAATCAACTGCTGTGTTTCTGAGGAGTGTCTCTCATGGAGAGCTTACTTGGGAACACAGGTCAAGAACAAAGCCTTGGGCTTGTTCTCTGATCTTTCTTGTTCAGAAAGAGATGAGACCAGGAGGCTCCTAACAATGTGACAGGCGCCCCTGGTCGGCCCCGCTTCCCCCATCCCATCCTCATGTGAGCTCGCCTCCCGGTTTTCATAGGCGTTCTTCATGATCTTCCTCCAGATCCGTTCCATTGTCTGGTAGCGTTTGCTCTCCACGGGCAACTGCCGGTTGATGTCCTCAGAGCTAAAGATGGGCTCCAGGTACAGCCAGGACCGCTGACAGTTCAGCCACTCCTCCAGCACTTCCTAGGCAAGGCATCAACTGTCAGACCCAGGGTCCAAGCTGGGGGTCCGGTCCCCGTAACCTAGACATTTCACCACACCAGAGTGCCGGGCAGAGAACAGGCCAGTGTCCGTGGGGAAATTTTTAGATGGTGCTGTCACCACAGTACTCCAAGGAACAAAGAGGCAACATGGATGCCTGCCCTCCGGAGAAATCCCAAGTTCCCCACAGGATGCCCGACCCTCCAGCAGAGCCTGGGAGCCATGCTTCCCTAGAAGAGAACTACACCCAAACCTGCAAACCCTGAAGTAACAGAGGAAAAAGCCCCAGTGCATGGGAGACCAAGACTTGCCTGATGGGACTCTGGGGTCTATGACCCCAAAATTCTCTGAGGTATTGGGGCTTGAGCTTGAGACCTCTAAAATACTCTGAAATATTAGTTCAAGAGTGAGACATCTTCAAAACAGGCTATTCTCCTCCCCCCAAATTCTGCCTCCAAATTCCCCTTTCAGCATTTATCTCTTGTCTTTTCCTATCAATGCAAACTCATTCATTTGTTTATGCATTCATTCATCCATTCTCTTCCTCTTGAGATGTGTGTCAAGGGCCAGCTCTGTGCCAGGCCCTTGGGGGCACCAGGAGAAACAGAGGGGAACAGGATGTGGTCTCTGTCTTTAAGGAGACCACAGTTCACTAAATGGCAAGTTCTGCCTCTGAATCACCAGGGGCCTGGCATGAGCCATGGACTCTGTAAAAGGCACTGACCAAGGGCTGGATGGGAACACCGTGCAGGCAGGTGTGGGGACACTGAGCTGCTTGACACTGAGCCTTTGAGATGGAAGGTAGGGATGGAACCCCAGGTGTAGGGACAGCATGAGCAAAAGAGGGAGACTCAGGGATAATGTTGACCAGCTCAGGTATCTGGGTAATCCAAGCAGCACACAGAAGCCCTCCTCACTTGGGTTCTAGCCTTTACTGGAGGTTTCCCAACAGCTTCCAGGAGGCCCCGGGGAAGAGGCTCTCAGAATTACACAGGTAGGCCTGACCCCAGGACAGTCCTCCAGGGCTCTGTAGACAGCCCCTGCCTCTGGCCTTGAAAGCTCTGAAGAGGGACAGTCCCCAGTGCCCTGGCAACCTCAACCCACGCCAGCTCCAAACGAGACAGGAATGGGAGGTTCAAGGCAGAGTGGGAGAGGGCACCGAGGAACCTCAGGGCTTCATGGCATCTAGTTCCGAGACTAGAGGTCCCAGTTGTCCCAAGCCCAGGCAGTCCTCTGGAGGTCTGCTGGCAGCTTTCATGCCCTTCCTCAGCCACAGCTTCTGACCAGACAGTGGCCCACCCCCATGTCCTGAATCGCCTTCTCCAGCAGCCGGACCTCAGAGATGGAGAGCCCCATTCTGGTTGCCCTTCTCTGAATGAGGGTCCTGTCAGAGAGCCAGGAGCTGCGCAAACCATTCCGAAGCGCACCACCCAGACACCATGAAGAGCCACCATGGGAAGAGGCCGTGAGGGTGAGGGAGGAATAAAGAAGGTCACGGAGGGCCCACCTGAGTCAGCTTCAACTTGGTCTCCCAGGAGTTGATACGTTGCTCGAAGGGCTTCTTGTAGGGCGAGAAGGACATGCTCTGGGTCATGACAATGTGGTCGTCAAGCAGCTGTGAGGCCTCATCTGGGCTCTTGAGGATATAGGTCTCTGTCTCTTTGTAGGGCAGCACGTTGAACAGGATGGTTGACCACTCCTTCTCCATCTTGTCCAGTGCCTGGGGTGGGGTACAAGTCAGGCTGGGTCCTGGCAAGGGCCTGGCCCACACTCTATCTGACCAGCACTGGGCAGGAAGAGCAGGCTCTGCCTGACCATGACCTTCACTTGGATCCCTCTGGCAAATACTCTTTGCTTGTCTTGCCAAAATATCCCCCACGGGCCCTCATCTGAATTAAAAGCCAATGGGCTCTCACACATGTGCTGCATGTATATAACATGCATGTACAGACATGTTGGGAGACAGCTAGTTAGGAGCTCTGGTCCCAGTTATAGCCCTTACTGGTTATGACACCCTCGTCACTTGCTGAACCTCTCTGAACCTTAATTTACTCATCTGTTAAATGAGGGTAATGCTCCATCCTGGGAGAGGAAGTAACTTGAGAGGAGTAACTGAGCAATAACTGGGATGGTGGACACTGTGCCAAGCTCTTCACATACATTATTCACTTACTTAACAGAATGCACCCCAACCCCTGTCCAATACTGTCATCCTCCTATGCCATCGGGCAGGGCCTGGGTGGGACAGGGTGAGCCTGTTGGCTGCCCACCTGCTCAATGGTGTACTCCTTGCCGGCCACCTCGGCCACCTTGCTGATGCTCTCGATGTGGTCCTGTAGGTTCATTTCAAGGCAGCGGGAGAAGGTCAGGTTGGCCTTGGGCCTGACATTAATGTTGATCTCATTGGACAGCACCTCCCAGTGCCGGTTCCGCATGCCAGGGTTTCGCAGCCCCTGGATCAGCGGGATGTAAGGCTTGAATTCCTCGATGCGGGCCCGGATGTCCAAGGCCACCTCCTGGCAGGCTGCCGGGCAGGGCAGGTGGGTGTGAGAAGTAGCCAGAACAGGCAGAAAAGCAGGGATTGGAGACTGGCTTGGTCACTTACCTGGGATGTCCTTGAACTGCTTCACACACTTGTGCATGGTCTTGAAGGACTCAATAACATTCTTCTCCAGTTGCTCAGCATCGATGGCTGACAGGGGGTCATTCATCCAGCTCTCAGACCAGCGCAGCCAGTCGGAGACTGTGGTCCAGAGGTCCAGGTAGGGCTGGAACTCCTTCACCATCCTGGTCAGTTTGTCGTACTATAGGAGCAGAAGAGCTGGAGCTGCTTTGGGGTGCTCCCAAGTCTCCCTCCATGCTGCTCCTTCTTGGGCCAGGTCCTCTCCCCATCCTTGCTCTTGGCTGCTGTCCCTAATCCTGTGCCCATGGACTTGGGCCTGGCCTCCCTTCTTCCTAACCCCAGCAGGCTGAGTGGCTGAGCAAGGCCTACACTGACCCTCAGGTCTCTTGCCTGGTTCTAGCCAGTCTCCTTGCCCTGAGGGCAAAGGGTGGGTTATATCTCCTTCTCTATAGCCTGCTTGGTCCTGCCCCTCAAATGCCAGGACCCTGTAACCTGGTAGCTGGTTTCTGATGTGGCCACCAACGACATGGGCTCTCTCTCAAACCCTGGGAGTTAGGGGATGTGGTGCCCGCAAGAGGCCTACATTGGTGACGGGCAAGCCAAAGATGCGTTCGCGGTTGTTGTAGAGTGCGGCCAGTTGCTGGCAGTCCTTCAGCTGCTTCTTGACCCGCCGCACCTCATTGGCGATCTCGTGTGCTCGAGTAATATCCACGTGGGCGGGGAAGCCAGCTACCACCAGCTGGGGGCCAAGGAGCAAGGAGTCAGAGGCCTCTGCAGCTCCACCCCTACCCACACCCACCCAGGAAGCCGGAGATCCCCGGGCATGAGTATGTCCCAGTTCTGAGGGCACTTTCTTCTCCAACAGTGAGCAGGTTTCTGGCCCACCACAGGCAGCTGACCACCCTGTGGTGACACAGCAAAATCAGAGAAAGACTCAGTGTCCTGAACACTGTGCCCATTGCCTGCTGGGGAATGAGGGACACAGCAGAAGAGTTGGGGCTCTTTACTACTCTGAATTCTTCTGGAGCTTACAGTCCAGGCACCCCTCTAGCTTTTCAGTTCGTTATTTACTTTTTTTCAGTTCATTCTTTTAGACATTTGTTCATTCATCCACCAATTCTTCCATCAAACATTGACACAGCAACTCCTGAATACAAGAAGCAAGGCCCAGCCCTGTGTGTGTGTGTGTGTGTGTGTGTGTGTGTGTGTGTGTGCGCGCGCGCGCGCGCGCGCGCACATTGGGAGCCAATCCCAGCAGAGCTTCAGCCAAGCCCTACCTGCAGCCCTTCCAGCTTCTCCTGGAAGTTGTTCTGATCCATAATCTGGATTTTGTGGAACTTCTCCTCCTCTTCGATGTGCTGCTGCCGCACCATCTCTATCTGCCCAAGGATCTTAGAAGGCCAGTTGCTGGCAGCCCATCTGGATGGGGCAGGGGTGCGGGTTGGGAAGGATGTCCCAGCTGAAATCATGAGGTGGGCAGGCCAGGCAGGGGCACTCAGGGTGAAGGGGAGAACGAAGGATCCAGGTGGCAGCTGAAGCCAGACAGGGTTGGACAACTGGGAAGCAGAAGTGAGCTGGCAGGCAGCCACTTCACGGGTGTGGGTCTGCCCGGCAGGGGAGGCAGTCCCTGCCCTGGGATTGTGGTCTGGAAGCTGTGGTCAGCATCCAGGGAGATGTTGATCCAATGTGCCCAGGGCGATGACAGGGCAAGGTAGGGGAACAGTGTTGGAAATGAGAGGAGTGATGCTGAGGCAAAGTGACCGCCTCTAGCCTGCATTTCCTTGGTGACCAACTGGGGACACCAGGCCAGATTCCTTCATGTCAGACCAACTCTCTTTGCTTGGCTGACATGGGACCCTGTGGGATTCAGGGATTCTGCTTGCAGCTGGCCTAGAAATGTTGACCCTGGGGGAGGCCCACCAGGGAGCCCTATAAAGTTGGAGCCTTGAAGCTTCTGGGCAGGAACCCCAGGAGACAGTGTTAATCTCTCCCTATCCCCTGAGGTCCCGGAGGTACCCCGAGTCTGTGAGTCAGAGTGAGCAAGTGGTCTCTGGGAGCCTCAGTAAGGCATTTCCAACTGGAGACTATTTCCCATGAGCTGGGTGGGGACAAGTGTTCCTCTCTAGAGACTGCCCACCAGGCTGGATTTTGCCTCCTTTTCCCAAGGACCTCAAAGGGCTCCAACCACAAATGAGGGGCCCAGTTGATGATAGATAATGGAGACAAGGTTGGACCCTCTTGGCAGCAGGGTCCCTAAGCCAAGAGGCTCAAATGATTTCCTTCTGCCCCATTGGCCACCTGACCCTGGCCCTGGTCCCAGACCATGTGGATCCATGGGCTCTGGCATCTGGGCATTTCTGCTGTGACTGCACAGCTGTGGCCACAAGGATCTTTAAAAGCCACTGCAGCTTGGCACTTCTTCCCCTACCTCTTGTTGTCCACCACCCACCTAGGGAGGGTGGGGACCAAGCTCTCACTCACTTGTCATTGAAGTCATCTGCACTGAGGTTGTAAAGGAATTCATCCATGACCTGATAGTCATCCATGACCTTCACAATCCTCTCCTGCAGGGACAGGTGGTGATGAGAAAGCATGTATGCCTGGGGGCATAGTGTGACTGGGTTCTCCAAGGTGAATGGGTGCTAGGGAGAGGCTACTCTCTTCCAGAGAGGGGAGGCCTGGGTAGGGGATGAGGCACAGGGTGCAAGGCCAGCACTGGGCTCAGAGCCATGGCTACCACACCTCCAGCCTTCAGCCCCTAACCCATATCTTCTACCCTCCTGACCCCCCAGACAGCACGGCTCTGAATCTCCACCATTCCGAGACTCAGCCCTCCCAAGCCACACCTGTCCTCTATCGACCTCCCCTCTGGCCTCCCGGTTCCTAATCTCCCAGCCCCTGCCTTCAGACCTGAACAATGGCCCATGACTCCCAGCTCCCCAGTCCCTGGTGTGTCTACCTGACCTCTAGCCCCACCAGGATCCTGGACACCAGCCCCCGCGCTCCCTGGCTCCCATGCGTGTACCTCACCTCCAGCACCACCAGCTTTTCAGGGATGCCCTTCATCCACTCGCGAAGCTCAGCCAGCTCCTCTATGCTGTTGGGTTTCTCGTAAATCTTGCGGCTAATGCCGCGAAACTCCTCACAGATCTGGTGGTGGGAGGAGGGCGCTAGGAAGGCCAAGTGCCTCTCCCGTCCCTTCCCCAGGGCCTGCTCCTCCATCTTGGTCTCCAGTATCTTCAGACAGGTAACTGCCCCACCCCACCACATGCTGCAGCCGGCTCACTGGGGAGCTGAGGCCTTGTGGTGAGGCAAGGGCATCATCCCATACACTTCACCTTCCCCAGCCTCCCTCCTGCACACACACACACACACACACACAGAGGCCTGCACTTATACACCCTCAGCTCTATGAAATGATCCACCTTAGGGCGTCCTTCATGAGGGGTTCCCAGTTCTCTACAAGTTTAGAGAATAAAGTAGCAGTGCCCCTTCCTGGGATCCCCCCTCCCCCCATGGAACAGCTTCCTGCAGACAGGCAGGGTCAAGGAAGGATGACTTCTAGATCCTTCCACAACCCTGGCAACTGCAGACAACCCTGACCCTGCCTGGGGACATCTTGCTTGTGGTAGTTCACCATGGACACAAGGATACAGGTGTTGCTACAGTCACTGCAGCTGGGCAGGTGGGCACTTACATTGTTCACCTCCTTGTGCAGGTTCTTGGCCAGGATGTCCAACATGGAAGTGGCCAGGGCCTTGCACTTCTTGGACAGGCTCTGCTTGACATTGTCAACATTGATGTAGAAGGGCCCAATGACGATGCTGCTGGGAAGCGAGCTGTCCAGGATCTCTTTCTCCCGTAGGTGGGTGAGCACCACCTCCCGCACCTCTTCAGCTGATGGGCAATGCTCCTGGTAGGCTCTGTGGACAGTGGGCACACAAGGGGTAGAGGGTGGTGAGAATGTGGGTGGGGGTCACACAGATACACAGACAAACTCAGATGCTTGCACGCACTTGAGGAATGAGGCAATGTCATTGTTGTTCAGCTCCAGGTACTTTCTGTACTCCTTGGCGTAGGCCCGCAATGGGATCGTGGCCTTGTGCATAGCGTTGGCGATGGTGGCCCTCAGCTCCTCCACCAGGGGCTCATGAAGCCCCACTGACTCCAGCATGGGGTTACCGCTGATAAAGATGTCCTCCATCACCAGCTATGGAGTGGGGGAAGGGGTGCAGAACTGGATGAGCCATGAGGCAGGAAATGTGATCCAAAGACCGAGTAGGCAGCAGTGTTGCCAAGCACAGAGCATGGTGGCGTAGGGGGAGGGCTGGGGCTGTGAACCAATACAAGGCTGGAAGCCCTGTGGGGTCCACCAATAGGCACCATCCCTCTCTGTCTGTGCCTGACTCAGCCCATTGCCGAAGAAAGGAACAGATGACACAACCAGGTCACTGATGGCTCTGCTGACCAGCAAGGAAGACAGAGGGGACTGGAGTTGCAGAGGCTGTTGGACCAAGGGCTTGGGCTCTGCGCAGATTTGGTAACGAAATGGGAACTTTTGACTAGAGTGTGGAGGTTAGTTTGTGTCCACATCTTAGCTGAAGACAGAGGTCAGGATGTGGGTGGGATCAAGAGGGTGGGATCTCAGACAGACATGGCTGTGGTAGGAGTGGACAAGTGAGCCCAGCAGCCATCACAGGTCTGACACTTAGCAGCTACGTGACCTTAGGCTAAACTTCTCTGAGTTTCATGACAAAATGTGGATGTTGATAGTTCCCAATTCAGCTGATGGTGAAGATGAAATGAGCCACTCAAGAATGAAAGGGCTGCCCAGCCAGTGTGGCTCAGTAGTTGGGCATCAACCCATGTACCAAGAGGTTGCTGGTTCGATTCCTGGTCAGGGCACATGCCCAGGTTGTGGGCCAGATCCCCAGCGGGGGGGGGGGGGGGGGGCATGCAGGAGGCAGCCAATCAATGTTCTCTCTCATCGATGTTTCTATCTCTCTCTCCCTCTCCCTTCCTCTCTCTCTAAAATCAATAAAGAAAAAAGAAAAAAAAAAAAAGGAATGAAAGGGCGGAGCACACTGCGCCAGGTGGGAGCCCATGATACAGCTGAACTGCTCTAATCCTTGGGGCAGCATCCTGGAGCTACGGTAGCCGCTAGCAGCCAGGGCAGCAGGTGTCCAGGCCTTGAGTTGTGGTACCTTCTCCAGCTGGGGCACTGTGTGGGTGGCCAGGATGCCCTTGTCAAAGAGGTTGAGCAGAGATGTCTCGAACTGCTCTAGCGGCGTGCTGTAATGCACTCCCGAGCTGTCCAGCACCAGGTCCACAATGAGCAGAGGATTCTTCCGGGGCCTGTGGGGTGATGGCCGGGCTGACCATGGGCAGGGGCCTGAGGAGGCCTGTGTGCCGCAGGCCAGCCCTCTTCCCTTCCTGCCACCACAATGCTCTCTATGCAGTAGACTTGCCTCCTCCCTCCTCCCAGAAACCTCCAAGTTACCGGAGAGAAAGACCCAAACCAGTCAAACAGGCTCTGCTGTTCCTGCCATTGCCCAGAATTGCATGGGCACCAGGGAGAGGGAGGACCTTCCGTGTGGTCTCGAGGTCATCCCAGGACAGGTCGGCCATACCCTGAGCACTTATGGCTCCCCATTGTCCCTGGGAACCCACTATCCTTGGCTTCAGATACTCACTACATGACAACTCTCAAACCTGGACAGGAGCTGGGCCCCCTTCTGCACTCTGGATTGCCACCCACCCGGATCTCTAATGGCCCCTGTCTCCTGCCAGCTCTCCCCAGGGCTGGGTCCTAGGGGTGGACCCCAGAGTCACCCTCGCCTCCTCCCTTCCCTCCTCCGCATCCACTTCCTCCCGCAGCCAGGCCCACAGCACTGCGGCCTGTGCACTGCCCCAAGTCTGTCCCGCCAAGGCCCAGCCCTGTCACCAGCTGTCTAGACAATGGCAAAAGCCTTGATCTGACTTCCTTTCTGTCTCACTTGTCCCCACAAATCCAGAGCATCATTTTGGAACGAGAATCAGATCATTTCTCCCCTCTGATAGCTGCTGACCAAACTCAGAATAAATCCAGCCCTGACCATGACTCCAGGAGGTTCTGCCTGATCTGGCCTGGTCCCTGCCACCTCACCCATGTCCCTCGACCAGCCTTCCCTGCCCTCCCCACTCCAGCCATAGCCGCTGGCCTTTCCTTCCTTGACTGCCCCACATCCCTTCCCCCTCTGTGCTTCTGCTGCATTGGCCCCTCCCCCGCCCCACAGCTGGTTTCCTCTCAGTCTCAAGTCTTGACTCCGATGTCACCTCCTACCGGACCCCCGGCAGAGCCCCTTCCCCCCAGGGTCTGTCCCAGCCCCTGTCAAGATTGGCAATGACTGTGTCTATTTATTTTCTTGCTGTCTGTCCCCCTGTGAGAGCAAGGGCCATGCCTCTCTTGTTCTAACACCCTGTCTGGTTCATGGCTCAAAGGATACTTCTCAAATGGGTAACTCAGTGACTGGCAGAATGAAGGTCACAGAATAAATGCAAGCCAAGGCTGGCGGGACATGCCCTAGCAACAGGGTGGGAGCCAGGATTTTCCTGCTGCCCAGGACCTGGCAGTGATGGGCTCCCTGACCCTGGCCGCCCTGCCCCCCACCCAGCACCACCCTAGCCACTGGGGCCTGGCAAGGAATAGTTCTGCTGTCGAGGTGCCCAGCCCAGCAGGCCCCACCTGTAGGGGCTGTTTACTAAGTCTTCGCCCCAGACCATGTCCTCGGCGCAGTCGAGCACGCTGCAGCAGGCGTCGCCGATGAACTGCGAGAAGCTGCCCAGGGAGTCCTGCACCAGGAAGCGCAGCGTGTCCTGCAGCATGTACTTGATCAGCTCCATCAGCTTGCGCAGCTTTGACATGAGGTACACTTCCCAGTTGGTCTCGTAGAGGTTGTACCAGCCCTTGCTCATGTCCCGCAGGCTGCTGCGCGTGGCCACCTTGAGGGTGCTGATCCAGCTGTCCTTGAGGAACATCTGTACCTGGAGTGGCCACAGGTGGCATCATGTGGCCACCCAGGGAACTGCTGCCCACAGCTGCCATGCTCAGGGACTCTAGGCATCAGGGCCATGCGGCCTCAGGAGTCAGATGACTACAGAGTGATCTCCCCCAAACCCAACTTACTGACAATCCCTGCCAACCAACACCCTCCTGTGACCCCAGGAACCAAGGCTGCTCCTGGGGAAGGAGGGAGGGAGGGGAAACAAAGCAGGGCCTTTCTTCCAGCCGTGAGAGACAGACAGAGACAGAGGATGAGGCAGAGACATGGAATGGAGCAGAGAGAGGCAGAGAGAGGGAGCCTTCCCCCTAGGCCATCTGGCAGCGGTCTCCCATGAGGCTGAACCCCTTCTCTCTCCTACGCAATCCTGGGTAGACACGGGGTTCCTGCTTCTGCTTCAGAGGGTCAGGATGGAAAGTGACCAGCTCTCCTTCTCTCTCCAAGGTGAGTCCCCGCTTGGGCCCCCACCCCCCAGGCTGTCAGAGGTCTCGGAAGAGGCGAGGCTTGGCTGTAAGGAGAGTGGGGGCTCACAGCTTCACCACTGGCCAATCACCCCCGGTTTCCCCAGGGGCCTCGGTCTGTGCCTGTCAGCTCCATGGCTCTGGCCAGCCTGCTGCCACTCTGGGCCCCGGGTGCCCACGCACCTGGGAGAAGGTCTGCGACTGGATCTGCTCGAACTCTTCCAGGCGGCTGTACTTCGAGAGGTTCGAGTGGAACAGGGACATGGAGGTCACCTTGTTGCACTCGGCCCGCACCTTGCTGAGGGCTGTGATGACCTCCGGCCGTGTGAGCAGGGAGACAAAGGTGAAGTCCTCCTTTTGCTCCTGGAAAGGGTACTTGGGGACACTCACCAGCCCTGTGGGGGTGGGGGCCAAGGGCCAGTGTCAGATGGGCCCAGGACACACCTGGGGTCAGGACTGATCTAGAGGGACACAGCTCCTGCCTCCTCCCTGGAAGAGACACACATGTCCCCAGAACCCCTCTTTTTCCATGGCTTGTTAGAGTGGCCCTAAGGCCCTGCAATGAGCCGCCTGCTCTGAAGTGTGTAAATGAATTTCCTCCAGGCCCCTTGGGTCACAGACCTGACTGAAGGGGTGAGAACTGCGAACCTTGCCCCCGTCCACTCCTGCCCACTCTACACACAACTCCTGATGCCCATCTGGGGCTGCCCTGGGGTACCAAGAACAGAAGATGTGGGCACCAGGACCCTTGGAATGCCCACTGTCTATGTCTGACCCAGCTTCCTGGGCGCTGTACACATGTGGAAGCTGAATGCAGGAAAAGAAATTAGCAGGGATAGGGGAGCTCAAAGTAAGGAGGGCTTGGCGGGCCTGACGTCCTACTCTGTGACTTGGTCTGCTTCGTGTCCAATGCAGCTGCAGCAATGCCAACCTACTCTTTTTTTTTTTTAAATGTTTTTATTGATTTTTTAGAGAGAGATAGAAACAGTGATGTGAGAGGGATGCATCAACCCACTGCCTCCTGCCAGCCCCCTTCTGGGGATCTAGCCCACAACCTGGGCATGTGCCCTGACCAGGAATTGAACCGGGCCCTCTCAGTCCATGGGACAACGCTCAATCCACTGAGCCACACCGGCTGGGCCTGACCTACTCTTGCTATTGGAGAAAGAAAGGGCCACATGTCCCCAGGTCAGACAATCAGAGAACTTTTTGTCCACTTCTGAACAATTGCTTTCCTAGTACACATTTACCTTGCTACTTCTGTACTACTTAGACTGCTGTTTGTTTTTGTCATTAATCCTCACCCGAGGATATTTTTTCATCGATTTTTAGATAGAGTAGAAGGGAGGGAAGGAGAGAGAGAAAGAGAGAGAGAGAGAGAGAGAGAGAGAGAGAGAGAGAGAGAGAGAGAGAGAAACATGGATGTGAGAGACACACCAATTGGTTGCCTCCCACATGACCCTGACTAGGGCCAGGGATCAAACCTGCAACCCAGGCACGTGCCCTTGACTGGAAATTGAACTCACGACCTTCAGTCCAAGGGCCGATGATCTAACTGCTGAGCACACCAGCCAGGGCTCAGACTGCTGTTTTAAAGAAGAGCCTTCATCCACCCCACCCCCACCCCAGCCCTCCAGGCGGTTAGGAAAGGAGGGAATGAATGCTGGGGATGGGACAGGTGCAGGTGAGTGCTGGTTTATAGAAGATCCTAGAGGGAGACGTGGGAGGGGCTCTGCTGGGTGGGTGGCCCTAGGACCACCTTTGCCAATACCCTCACCTTGCTTGGGTACCTCCACTTCCTCCTTCTTAGGCAGGGTCACATAGGAGAACGTGTCAGGCTTGGAGGAGACAATTTGGTCAAAGTTGATCTTGTTCATGCTGCGCTCAAAGTCCAGGTTCACTTCTCTGGATAGATTGCTGAGGTGCTCCAGAACCCTGTCCACGGGGATCAGAGAGAGGGGAGTCAGGGGGCTCCACACACTGTCACTCCCACCCTGGGGCCCAGGCTCCGCTCTGGCAGGGGCCTAGAGACACAGTTTGGGGCTTCCTCTGTCATAGACGCACCTCCCATCTGGACCCCTGGCCACAGACCTCCATTACCTTTGTTAGCTGCCTCTTTCATGCCACCCCCACCCCTCACATCAGTCCCTGACTCTGCCCATTCTGCTTCTAACTTCTCATTGTCATCTAGTGCAGGCCACCCTTGCTGCCTGGTCCCCTTACACCCCTGCCCATTCCAGTCCACTCCCCACAAAACTCAAATCTGATCACATCCTTCTCTTGATTAAAATCCAATCCTGGGTCCCCTGGATCCTACGGTAAGGCCAGGGGGCCCTTCTAGCTGGCTCTGCACCCCCTTCCTCTCAGCACACTTTTCCTGTTCCCACCTGGTCCAGCCACCGGCAGCCCCTCTGAGCTCCTGGAGGCACCAGGCTCCCACGTACTCGGAGCCTCTGAACACACTGTTCCCTCTGGCAGCCACGCCTCATCGACCAGTCCCAGCTCTGCCTGACCAGCCTTGCTCCTCCCTTGGGCTTTCTGTTCCAGGCATATTTGCCCTCTCTGGATACGGGTAGGTCCAATTTATGCTCCAAAGTGTTGCCCCTGTCTTGACACTCCTGGTCCCCTCTGGTTAGTGAGCACAGGATGAGGGACAGTGTGTGCATGGGACTGTGTCCAGCTCATGGTCATTCCTGCAGAGCCTTGAACAGGGCCTGGTATTCCAAGGGTTCTCACCATACAGGTGTTGAGTGAACATACAAAGAGATGAATGAGCTCTGGTCAGTTTGGCTCAGAGGTTAGAGCATCAGCGCTTGGACCGAAGGGTCTCAGGTTCGATTCCAGTTAAGGGCACGTATCTGGGTTGCAGGTTCGATCACCAGCCCTGGTTGGGGTTGTGCAGGAGGCAACCAATTGATGTCTCTCTCAAACAGATGTTTTTTTTCTCTCTCTCTCCCTTCCATTCTAACAATCAATGGAAAAATATCCTCAGGTGAGGATTAACAAACAAACAAATAAATGTGGCTTAAAAAAAAAAAGAGATGAATGAATGGGGCTCACAGGCCTATGTGACAAGCAGTGAAGACTCTGGCAGAATGTGGTCATGACATCCAGGAGCCCTCCTCTTGTCCAGGGACACCCTTCACCCAGTCCCTGGCCGGCAGCTCTCCTGTGCCTCTCTGCTTCCAGCACAGCAGGTCCCGCCCAGGCGCTGCTTCCTCCAATGATCACTAACTAATGCAAACATATGCAGTCAAGCCCCCTTGTCCTGTCCCCCTCAGGAGTAAATTCTGTGGTCATCCATGCTTCCGAGTTCCTCATGGGATCAGAGGCTAGACTTCCTTTTGCTTAGTTGCTTTCTCTACCAGATCCTGCCTCCTTCTCTCCCTTACAGATTTCTCCCTACAGATTTCACCAATAAATCAATCACTTATACAAGAATCCCAAAATCATACTTTGCCCCTAGAAAATCTGACCCACGGCAGGGTTGAATAGACCCTGAACCTGTGCTTCTGAAGCTGCTGCTGCCATCCTGCCTGCACTTGAAGCCAGCATACACTGGACACGCACAGAGCCACCACGCACTGAGCCCGAGGCCGTCCTGCATCAGATTTCTTGTTAGAGGTCAAGTAGTGTGTATTTCCCTGATGTCTAAGCCAGTCTGTGCCCAGCATCTTTGTTACATGCATCTGAAAATATTCCAAATAGTCTAAAACTCAAGAAATGGAATTGTGAGCAACCAAGGTAATGGTGGCTATATCAATTCAACTCTCCCAGCACACTCTCAAAAACAAACACACAAATAAATAAACAAATACAAAGAAAAAAGAAAAGCAAGAACAAATAACACCTTTAGCATAACTAGAATAGAGAGAATGCTCAAACTTCGCAGCATCTTTAAGAGAAAAACAACTCCCAGTGAGCTAGTGCGCACACCCCTGCTGCTTTTGTGAACAAAGGCAGACGGAGAAAAACTGTGCAAAGAGGGAGCAGCAGGAGCCCTAAGATTGATCTAAAGTCCTGCCAGAAAGAGCAAGTCCATCCACCTGCGGAAATACGGAACAAGCGTCCTGCCAAATCAGAGTGCTTACTACAAGGAAGAAACTGACATGCATACGTTCAAGGTTGCTTCTTTGAAGGGCATGACTTATAAGGGGGAAGGTATTAGAAAAGAGGAGTCGTTTGGAGATTGGGAGGTGACTAGAAAAGAAGTAAAAGTGAAAATCAGAGTCCTAAAAGATAAGAGAGAACAAAGCACTTGGAGGACACACAATTCTTTCTCCCAGCACACACACACGCACGCACGCACGCACGCACGCACACACCTATCCATCCATCTATTAAAAAAGAAAACTAGCCCTGGCCGGTTTGGCTAAGCGGTTGGAGTGTTGGCCCGCGGACCGGAGAGTCCTGGGTTCGGTTCCCACTCAGGGCACATGCCTCGGTTGCAGTTTGTCCCCCACCGTGGTTGGGATCGTGTGGGTGGCAACCAGTCCGATGTGTCTCTCTCACATTGATGTTTCTCTCTCTTTCTTCCTCCCTCTCTCCCTCCTGCTCTATCTGAAGATAAATGCAAAAATGTCTTCGGGCGAGGAAAAAAAAAAAAAAAAGAAAACTAGTCTGTTACACGAACAGAAGAGGGCACCCTTGAACTAGGACTCTTGTAAAACATCCCAAATCCATGAAATGAATAGGTGAAAGTAAAGTACACTTCTATAAAGCTACTATGAGAGAGAGAGAGAGAGAGAGAGAGAGAGAGAGAGAGAGAGACCACCTTAACTGATGAAAAGTCTCACCATCCTTTAAAAAGAAACAAAGACAAAGCAGGAGAAAACTAACACAATGCTTCAAACTGAACAAAACATCTTCAAACAAGAAACAAGTATTTGGGCATATGAAAGAAAAAACACCTTGAATCAGAGGTTCAAAAATAAAACACAGAAATAGAAAAATAGGAAGAAAAGAAAAGATATTTGATTGAACTCAGAAAAGAAATAGAAGAAACAAAAGTATCTCTGGAAGGAAGCCTAAAATGCAAGGTGCCCAAGGAAGATTAAAGTCAAATAAAAAATGTAATAAAGTACATTGAAGAAAGGCAGGAATATAACCAAGAAAATGAAAATATAAAATAAAAAAAAGAACTAAAAAGAGTCAGAAAGTGTTTGAATTAGAAATTGGCTAAGAAGAAGCAAAATAGATAGACAGACAGATATATAGCTATATATATGTAATGGAATATCTGATAAAACAAAACAATGGAACAGAACTAATATTTAAAACTATAAATCAAGAGAAGGAGAGGGTATGCAGTGGTGGGTGGCTGGAGAATTGGGGGCCGCTGAGCCATCTGTCCATACGTACCAACAAACCTTGTCAAACTAGTCCCTGTCTTCCTAGTTACTTCTTCACCATGGACCACCCACCCCTATCCCAAACCAACCCCTCTGTTTCTCCATCCCTCACAAATGTATCGATTCTTTGTCTAAAAGGTATAAATGCTTCTTGTTCTGAAAACAAACAAACAAACAAACAAAAATACAACCTATAATTCAAAAGAAACTTCCAGAAATAAAAGAATATCTGAGCCCTGGCCGGTTTGGCTCAGTGGTTGGAGCATTGGCCTGCGGTCCAGAGACCTGGGTTCGGTTCCCGCTAAGGGCATGTACCTCGGTTGCAGTTTGTCCCCGGCCCTGGTTGGTCGAGTGGGTGGCAGCCACTCGATGTATCCCTTTCACGTCAATGTTTCTCTCTCTTCCTCTCTCTCACTTCCACTCTATCTGAACAAAAAGTGGAAAAAGATGTCCTCGGGTGAGGATAAAAAAAAAAAAAAAAAAGAATATCTGAATCTCTGTATTTAAAAGGCCCATTGTGTACTTGGGAAAACTGACCCAGAATGATCAACTCTGAAGTATACTCTAGTAAAATTATTTGGCTTTAAAGATTTAAAAATCCTTAAGGACTCCAAGCAAAAAAATAAAACAGCATACAAGGGATGGGGCACTGGTATCAGGTTTTTCAAAATAAAGGCAAGTATTTAAAAATAAAACCCACTCTAGGTTTGTTTTGTTCATTAGATTCCCCATGTAAGTGAGATCATGTGATACTTGTCTTTCTCTGATTGGCTTATTTCTGACAACATAGATCCAGAGACATTAACCACAGAACTTACATGCATACATGCATTGCCCATGGACACAGCCAACAGGGTGGTGAAGGTCTGGGGGTGGGGGGGGTGGGAGCTGGGTGGAAGTGGGCAATGGGGTAATGAAAGGGGGACATCTGTAATACTTTCAACAATAAAGATAAATTTAAAGAAATCTAGGAGTAAAAGTGTGAACCAAGAATTGTATATAAAGTCAGGTTGTCCAAATTTTAAATGTGCAAGAACTTTAGGAATGCTGTACCCCTGAGCCCTTAATGAGGAATATAGTACAAGAGCTTCACCCACTCAAGAGATTGATGGGGTTCTTCCAGACACATTACCCCAAAACATGACACCTAGGCATACTGCACATTTTGAGCTGAAGGAATTTGAGAAATGGCAGGTGCGGAAAGGACCCACTGACCTTTCCCTGAAGCAGGTCGTAAGACCCTCTCATGAGAGGTGCTCTCCCTACACCCTGGAGGAAAGGGACAGCCTTAGCTCTAAGATGGAGTGATGCCCCGAGGAATCTGAAGGGCAGACCTTCTGTTTTCCCCAGTTTACTACCCTTAGCTCACGTCCTTTTGTCCCATCACGTTGTTCATGGCTTTCCACTCCTCACCAAGCCCAGCACAGAAACGCTCAGACTTAGCCTCTTCAGGTGCTCACTTCCTTATAAAGGGTCGCATGTCAACTAAGACATATTAAATACATGTGTACGCTTTTCTCTTGTTGACCTGTCTTTTTTTTTTTTTTTTTATCCTCACCATAGGACATTTTCCATTTTTTGTTCAGGTAGAGTGGGAGGGAGAGAGAGGAAGAGAGAGAGAGAGAGAGAGAGAGAGAGACATTGATGTGAAAGGGACACATCGAGTGGCTGCCACCCGCACGACCAACCAGGGCTGGGGACAAACTGCAACCGAGGTACGCGCCCCTAGCGGGAACCGAATCCGGGTCTCTTGGACCACCGGCCGACGCTCTAACCACTGAGCCAAACCGGCCAGGGCTGAACTGTCCTTTATACACAGACCTGGCTGAGAACCTAGAAGGGTAGAAGGAAAAAGGACTTTCTTCTTCCCCTACAAAACAACAGGGGAAACTTGAGCAAAAAGACTAATATACTTGATATATTTAATTGTAGATTTAAGATGAAAACAAAGATAGAGACGAGCATGAAAAAATATGTTAAAACATTAGTAGGAAACAGCAACTAAAAATAGGAGGAGAAAGGAATAAGGAAAGCAGAATGAGACAGAGGACTGTTGTGTAGGATATAGAAGGGAGTTAGAGAAAGTCATTCAAAACTGAAAACTGGCCCTAGCTGATGTGGCTCCGTGGTTAGAGTGCCAACCCACAGACCAAAGGGTCTTGGGTTTGATTCCTGGTCAAGGGCATGTACCTGGGTTGCAGGTTCAATCCCCAGCCCTAGTTGGGACATGTGTGGGAGGCAACAAATCAATGTGTCTCTCTCACATTGATGTTTCTCTCTCTCTCACCCTCTCAATCCCCCTCCCTCCCTTCCACTCTATCTAAAAATCAATGGAAAAATATCCTCAGGTGAGGATTAACGACAACAAAATGATACACATGGCCAAGTGGGATGTATTAAAAGAATGCAAAGTTGTTTCAATATCAGGAAATCAATTAATATTGATTACACCATGTTAATAGTTCTAAGGAGACAAATCATATGATTGTCCCCATAGCTTTTTAAAAAGCCTGTGACAAAAACAATTAAGAAAGTAGAAGTCAATGGGTATGTTATTAAATACATAAAGTCCTAAAACTAGCATTTTCTTAAGGGGAAAATACTACCGGTATTTCCACTAATACTAAGAACAGGTAAAGATGACTACCATCTCCCCTATTATTCAATATTATACTGGAGGTATTAGAAATGCAACTAGCCCAGCCAGTGTGGCTCAGTGGGTTGAGCACTGTTCCATGGACTGAAAGGTCCCAGGTCAATTCCTGGTCAGGGCACATGCCTGGGTTGCAGGATCAATCCCCTGTGGATGGTGTACAGGAGGTAGCTGATTGATGTGTCTCTCTCACATCAATGTTTCTATCTCTCTCTCCCTTCCTCTCTTTCTAAAAAAATCAATAGAAATATATTTTAAAAAAATAAAATAAAATGCTGTCATATTTTTTTAAAAAAAGAAACGCAACTAGACCAGAGAAAGAAAGTAGAAGGATAAGAATTGAAAAGTAATAAATAAAACTATTTAAACTTAAAGATAATGTGCACTTAGCCCTAAGCATCAATGATATAAACAAACCAAACATTAAATAATTTTTGTAAGGTAACAGGATATAAAGTTAGCATAATGATATCAATAGATGTAATAATAGAGGAAATCCCACTTATAGCCACAAAGAAGATAAACTACTTAATAATATGATGTAAAACCTATATTAAAAAAAACTTAAAGCATGCCTAAAAGATACAAAAGTAAACTTGAAAAAAATGGACAAACGTTCCTTGTTCTCGGATAGGGCAATTCAAGATCCTAAAGATGTCACCTATACCTAAGGTAATTTTAATGTACAGTGCAATCCCAATAAAAATACCAAGTGTTTTTAAAATAGAGCTAGATTTGATACCAAATCTCACATGGAAAATGAGCATGTAGATCCTTATCAAAATCTCAACAATATTTTTTTGCAGAAATAGAAAAATCCATCCTAAAATTAATTAGGAAATTTTAAGGGATCCCAAATAGTCAAAACAATATTGAAAAAGAAGAATAAAGTTGGAGGTCTCACATTTACTGAATTCAAAACCTACTGAAAAACCATAGTAATTAATGCTGGACCCAAGACAAATGGTTCCCAGTTTTTCACCTACACTACCCAGATTGAGTGGTTTGGTGGCCAACACGTGGTCTTTGGCAAGGAGGAAGAGGGCATGAATATTGTGGAAACCATAAAGCGCGTTGGGTGCAAGAATGGCAAGATAGTAAGAAGCTTACCACTGCTCAGTGTGGACAACTGTAAAAATTGTCTTAACCACCAGACCATTTCTTTCCCCATCTGCTCATACAGCCTATAATATTTGTGCTCTCACTGCAGTTTTTTTGGGTTCCACATTTTCGATATCCTTCTCAGTCTAGCTGGATTGCAGAATTAACTTTATAATTATAACATAAAAACTCAAACGCAACAGATACAATTACCACGTGACCTAGCTATTCCACTTTTGGAGAGAGCTATATATCAGGCATTTGCATAACCACGTTCACAGAAGCCAAAAGGTAGAAACAACTTAAGTGTCCATCGACAGATAGATGGATAAACAAAATGAGGTCTATACATACGATGGAATATTATTCAGCTGTTAAAAGGAAGGAAATTCTGTCCAGCCAGTGTGGCTCAGTGGATTGAGCGTCAGTCCCATGGACTGAGAGGTCCTGGTTTGATTCCTGGTCAGGGCACATGCCCAGATTGTGGGCTTGATCCCCAGTAGGGGGCCTGCCTGCAGGGGGCAGCCAATCCATGCTTCTCTCTCACATTGATGTTTCTATCTCTCTCTCTAAAAAAATCAGTTAAAACATTTTTTTTTTTTTTAAAAAGGAAGGAAATTCTGACATGTTATAACATGGATGAAACTGGAAGACATCATGTTAAGTGAAATAAGCCAGTCACAAAAGCACAAGCACAGTGATTCTACTCATATAGGGAACTTTGAATATTCAAATCCACAGAAACAGAAAGTACAGTGGTGGTTGCCAAGGGCTGGGGGGCAGGGGGATGGGGAGTTACTGTTTGAGGGGTACAGCGCTTCACTTCAGGAGGATGAACAAAGCTTTGCGGATGGACGGCAGTGGCGGTGCACAACGATGTGAATGCATTTAATGCCACTGAGATGTACACTAACAAATGACACGTTTAGGTTACGTATATTTTACCACAATTTTTTTAGTCCTTACCCAAGGATATTTTTCCCACTGATTTTCAGAGAGTGTGGGAGGGAGGGAGGGAGGGGGAGAGAGGGCGAAACAAGAGAAACATTGATCGGCTGCTCCCACATGTGTGCTGAACAGGGATCAAACCTGCAACCCAAGTATGTGCCCTGACCAGGAATTGAATTCGCCACATTTTTGGTGCGCGGGATGACACTCCAACCAACTGAGCCACACTGGTGAGGGCAGAACTCATGGCTTTTAACAGATAGATCAATAGATAGATATATAAATAGACGGAGATGTGTCTGGAGGCTATACATATTAAAATGGAATATAATAATGTGATAATATACATATATAGTTCCCAGATTTGTCTGGTTTAAGCGCCTCAAAGCAATGATTTTCTGGTAGCAATGAGCACATCTAATGCCCAGATCCTGGCTTCTAAATACCATTCCCCACTAAAAGGAAGCAAGGCTCCTTGAGAAATAGCTGATTTTGAGGCTCTATCTGGGAAAGTACAAGACGAACCCAGAACTTCTTGCTGTGCCAGAAAGGAAAAATAGCCCTGGCCGGTATGGCTCAGTGGTTGGAGCGTCGGCCTGCGGTACAGAGGGACCCAGGTTCGGTTCCCGCTAAGGGCACGTGCCTCGGTTGCAGTTTGTCCCCGGCCCTGGTTGGTCGTGCAGGTGGCAGCCACTCTATGTGTCCCTTCGCGTCGATGTTTCTCTCTCTCTCTCTCTTCCTCTCTCTCCCTCCTGCTCTATCTGAACAAAAAATGGAGGGATGTCCTCGGGTGAGGATAAAAAAAAAAAAGAAAAAAAAAGAAAGTAAAAATATGTTCAAAGAACAATAGGAACATATCAGGAGGACACTGGAATCACCTTGAAGAGGCTCCCGCTGGCCAAATCTGGAACAATTTGAGCATCAAAATAAAAAATGGTAGTAACAGATTATAATACTTTCACTAAAATATGAACTCATGAGTCCATATTGATAATAATAGATGTAGAGATGAACAAGAAATTATTTGGGGTCCAGGAAGTCCATAGTGCAGTGGGCAAGACAGCCCCGAACAGACAAGCATGAGGAGAGCACTACCCCTGGGCAGCACTACTTCCCATGGGAGGGCTTCCTGGAGGTGGCATGTTTGGGCGTGGGGAAAGGTCTGGCAGGGACTCACAAGGGCCCTTTGCGCATCCGGGGCGTGCTCATGGCCCACTGCTTGATCTTGCTCATGCTCTGCTCACTGAGGAGCCGCTGGCCATCGGAGGGCATGCAGTCCACATACAGGTTGTACAGCAGCAGCGCCTCTGTGTTCTTGCGCAGGGCGTGGGCCTGGACCACGCGCTGCGCGAACACACGTGGGTCCTCAGCGCAGAAGAGAAGCTGGATCCGTGGCACCCAGTATTGGCAGATCAGGAGGGGTGGCCTTCCTGGGGCCGGTGGGAGAGAGAAGGGAATGCTCAGTCGGGCTCTCTGGCCAGAGCACTGGGTTGCAGCCGGGCTCAGCTGCTGTTGCTGCTTCATGGTAGCCCTGAGTAAGTGGTTTCCCTTTGCTGAACCCCATCACATCTGTGAAATGGGTTTGATGATACTCCCTGCCCTGCCCACCTCTCAGGTTGTCATGGATGGATGTGAAAGTGCTTCATAAACTGTAAAGAGCTTTGCACAAACAAGGAGCTAAACAGGGGTGGCGGTTATATGCCCATTCCTGGATGCCACACCAGGGCAGACATCACTAACTGATGGGTCTTGGGCTCCTTCTCAACACCATGCTGAAAATGGTATGATCGACTGCTCAGAGTTGGCACATCAAATAATGGCCATTTGCCTTCTTGGGGTCTCTGAGTGATGGGTCCTCTGGTTCTCACTGGTGAGGGACAGACAGGCACAGGACAGACAGAGCAAGGGAGAATTCCAACCTGAGCCGGCTGTGCCCTAGGTGGGGGTTGGCTTTAGTCAGAGGCCAGGTCCAGCCTGAGCTGGGGGTCTACCTGGATCAGGGGCAGAAAGTTTGTACCTGCATCAGTGACCCCTCCATTCAGGATGGGCTTCCCCATCTCGTCTCGCACCGAGCCATTCTCGTCTGTCTTGTGCACCAGGTACAGCTTCTTCTCCTCGTCATAGTCCAGGACACCGACATTGCACCATTCGTACTTCAGCTCCTGACTTTTGGGGTCCGCTGAAATAAGAGGGGAACCCACCAGTGTTCCCTGCCACAGGATGAGTAAGGGCCTCTGAGTGTAAGCAGTAGGTGCTAGGAACAGGTCTCAGAGGTCACTAGTCTGGCCTCACTCCCACCAGGAAGACCTCGTCTGGCTCCAGCAGAATGGGGGCCTTGCTCTCTTCCAGCTGAGCTGGACTCTGGGGAACCCCTGGCAGCAGGAACAGCCAGAAGGAGCAGGTCTCTCTGCCCTTGTGCATGACACCATCAGGGCAGAGAGAGAGAGGCGGGCTAGCAGGGCTGGGAGAGGAGGCAGGAAAGCTCCAAGCAAACAGAGTCCTTTGAGGACCTAGTTGTAAAGGGCATCATGTCTGAGCTAGACCCCTTCAAATAGACCAGGCCCAGGGTGACCTATGTCCTTCCCATAGGCTGCTGTGTCAGTTGAGACCCTGGGCCCCTCATATCAGGACAGGCTGGGGCAGGGTAGGGGCTGCTGCCCTGCAATGTCCTCAGAGGGGGTCTCAGGGCCTGTTTGGCCCAGATGGGTCTCCCACCACTCCCTGGGCTGAAAGCCTACTTCTCCAGCTCACCTCCTGCCACTGTCCCCACACGTTTCTCTCCAGCCACACTGGATGTCGGGCGACTCCTGAGACTTTGGAGCTTGCCCTGCCTTTGCATTGCCTGTACCCTCTGCCTGGAACAGTCTCACTCAAATCACCTCATTGCTGGTTTGTTCCTCGCTCAAGTGGCTTCTCCTTGAAGAAGCATCTCTGCCTAAAATAGCGCCTTTGCCCCAGGCACTGCCTGAGAGCTTAAGGCATACTGTGTGTGCATCCTCTCCTGATCTGGTCAGGCTCCTCCCACTACTGTCAGCTCCCCAAGGGCAGGAGCAACTCTGTCCCACCTTGATCACAGCTGCATCCCTGTACCTAGAATGGAAACTGGTACATGAACTAGGTGCTCAATAAACTTTTGTTGAAGTTGGACACATATGGCACAGTGCCAGGCAGAGAAGGCCTCAATACATAGTGGCTTAAAACAAGTGTGAGTAATACGGCAGGGACTGAGGAAGGAAGAAGGCTGGACTTCCCAGGACGCGCTGCCCACAAGTCGATGCTGGACAGAGGTGTAAAGGAGGTTGCCGTGGTACACCTCACCGGCGTTGGTTCTGTTTTTGCTTTCCCTTCCCTTCCTAGTAAGTTTCCTTTTTGAAAACGCTGACCTTGTCTTAGCTCAGCTTAGAAGAAAAGATATCACAAGAAGCCCCAGCAGAAAGTGAGAGTTCTCTGGCAAAAATGCTCTCTGCCAGCCCCCCCCCCCCTTCACAAGGTCGGGGCCCACGTGAAGAGGGACAAGCAGAAGCACTCCGGGGAGGCTGGTACTTAGTGCATTTAAGGTTAATGCGGGCCCAAACCTTCTGGTTTTATCACCAGGAATTGGTGATCGGGGAACAATTGAGTTAAATTATTTTTGTAATTAAGTGAAAAATATAGGGAACATTCTGGGCTTCTTGTCTAGTTCAGAGAAATTGATTCCAGCATTAACCTGATTTTAAATCGAAACATAAAGTTAACGGCGTGCTCAATAGATGCACGGAGGGCCCCCTGGATGCTGAGCAGCCTTAAAACCAGCATGGCTCCCACACTGCTACCTGCCACCTGGCCCACTCCTCACTCCGTGGCGGCTGGTCCACCCACTGGCAGGAAGCAGAGCGGCCTCAGCCCTGCACAGGGGCAGGGCCACCTCCAGACTCCAGCCCCGTGGCCAGACCTCCCTAGGATGCCTGCACGGAGCCAGCCACACAGGCTGTGGAGGTGGCTGTGGAGCTCACCCAGGCACCATTCCCAACAGCGGCCAACTGGAGAGAGCCGCCATGGCCTGAGGGCAGACCTGGGCCCAAAGGAGGGGCCAGCACAGACCAGGCCCAGCAAACTGGGCATCTGTGTTGGTGTGTGTGGGGTGCGACAGTGGTTGCACATGGGTGATGGAAGGAGTGTATAAAAATGTGCACATGGATGTGATGTGTGACAGTGAGTGTGCTTGTGAATGTGTGTTTGCAAGCATGTGAGTGTGTGACAGCGCGGGTCGTCCACGTGGACAAGAAGGCTGAGAGGCCACCGTTACACTGGAGCAATGGTGACTGCTGGGTGGCAGGGTGAAAGGGCTTGCACTGAGCCCCCAGGTACATTCGAACATCTCTGACAGGCATGTATATTTATTACCAATAGGTCAAAGTTGTTTTGTTTTGTTTTTAACTCTAGACATCATCCAGCTGTCGCTTCTCCAGACCTCCCACCAATGCCATCCCTGGTCCCGGCCTCTCCTGCCTCTGTGCAGCTAGCCCCACTTTCTGTATCCCAGCTGGGAGGTCTTAGAAGGTGGGCCTTTACAGCCCCGGCACCTCCGGCAGGGCCGCTGCTGGACGCGATGACACAAACCAGGATTCTGCTCCCCCACTCAGGCTGGCCCTGCTCACCATGCCCCAGGAGGTCATTAGTGGGCAGGAGGGCTTTTCCTGGGACTGGTTTCCTATCCTGGGACCCTGGCTCCAAGCCCATGCTGATCCATTCGCTGGGAGTCCGGCAGTCAAACTCCTCATTGTCGAACACCTGGAAGAAAGCAGCAGATGTCAGGAGCAGGCAGCTCAACCCACTGGGGCCTGCGTAGGCTGAGCGTGCCAGAGGATGGGGTACCTACGCAGGACCCACCCCAGGTGCAGGTGCTGCAGACTGGGACCAGAGAGCTGAGCCCCTCCTCCGCTGCTCACAATGGCCCGTGAGTTCTGACTATGAAGCCTGGATCCTTGTCTAGCCAAGCCATCCTGAGGTTCAGGCAGAGGGGTACCTGGGGACTCATAGTAGGATGTGGGCTCTCTCTCCCATTGCTCAGGACCATCTAGCTCAGGCCTGAGGCAAGATGTGGCCCTTGGATTTTCCTGAACACCCCACCCAGACTTGGAAATGATGGAGATTCTGGGTTGTCAGGAGACCACCCTAGGCAGGGTGATCTTCATCTGGATTCAGCTTGCCTCTCCACAAGACACACTCGGGGACATGGAGAGGAAGGATGGGGAGGCAGGTGAAAGCCAGAGCAGGATATCCCCTCTTTCTCCTCCCTGGTACCCCAAGGGGCTGCAATGATGATGCCCTCCTCCACTCTCAGTCTCCCCGCCTCGGTGAGCCCACTACAATGGTCAGAGAGGACTACACATACTCCACAGTCCACCTGGGCTGCTTCTTGGTGCCTGTGGGTGGGGCGGGGGCAGCTAGGGAAGAAGTGGAGAATCAGCATCCCATGGTGCCCGGCGCCCCTCTGTCCCAGCCTGGGATGCTTCAGACCCCTAGGGGGCTCCGATTATGCAGTTGCCCTGTTTGACAAGCAAGCACTTGTGATTGCCATGGGGTCTTGTTTCTGGTTTGACCCAGCAGCTGAGGTTCTGCACACTCACCCCCTGGCCACCAGCCCTCCGTGGAAGCTGGGCTCACCTTCAGCGGGAGATAAACGGGAAAGAGCGGGTCATTGCCCTGCTCGATGGTCTGAGGATTGTGGGGGTCCGGGTGCCTGGGCATGAGCTTGTTGGAGTCGATTCCCTCTCTAGCCAGCAACTGTTCAATGTCCAGGCTCAGGTACAGCCGCTTCCTCCTGGAGGAGGGAGACAAGGGGAATCTCATGATGGCTGGTGTGAGATGGTTCAGTGGGTGTCAGCAAAAGCTCACAGGATCAAGGCGGTAGGGATGTGGCCCAGGGACCCCTCCAGGGCCCTTTGCCTCTTTGGGACTCATCAGGAAGTAGTGTGATGGCTGGAACTGGTGTACTGGGCTCCAAATGCCCTTCTGTCCTGCCTGGCAGTTCTACAACATTGACCCAAATATCACCCTCCTCGATTCCACAGCAAGGAAAGCAATTTGTTCCTGTTAAAAGACCAAAGGGCTAGAGGATTTGATCTGAACACTTGCACACAGACTCTTTTTAGTGACCTCTGCTGCGGGGACCACTGAATTGCCTGCTGTCCCTCACCCCGAGTTGGGCAGACAGCCTCCTGGAGGCCAGCCCACCCAGCCATACCTCTCAATCTCAGTCTTGCGGGGGCACTGGCCCGGCAGCACCAGGAAGGGCACCTGCACCTTGGGCTCATACGCCTGCAGTGGGAAGTCAGCCCGGGTGAGCAACTGGGGGGTAGGCTCGATGTTCTGCTTCTCCAGGAGCTCCTCGAAGTTCTCAGGAATCTCAAAGGTTCTGACTGTGGGTGGAGGAAGGGGCAGGAGCTGCAGAAGCTCAGGCTGGGGCCCAACACCTTGTCCCCAAGAAAAAGCACTAGGCAGGTATCAGGCACACATGCTACTGTGGGGCATGGAAGCTGAGAGCCAGCCTATGGCCAGCAGTGGGGGAGACGTGGCACCAGGCACCCAGGGAGTGCCAGCCTGAGGGACGAGGGCCTCCAGAAGGTCTGTTGGGTCCTGCTCTCCTTGCCCAGAGCCAGCATGCTCAATCACTCCCCTCCATGCTGCCCCCCCCACCCCAGCACCAGTGGCCGTTGCTCAAGCCAGATGCTAAATCAAACCACCAGGGAGGTTTACAACCAGACAGGAGGGCGAAGTGGTGGCTCCCTGCACACCTGGGATGGGTTCCTGCTGTCCCTACTCTAGAAGCCCCCCCAAAGCACATCAGTTTGAATGCCGTTCACTCCCTGGGACCGTTTGTAGACTCATGGCATCCTGGATACTCTAGAGTAGGGATACCACCACCTGGGCCCTGGGGGACCTTCAAGTCTCAAATGGACACCTCTACTTAGACAACCAGGACAGACAGAGGCTTTCGTTCTAGGTCTGGGGGGAGGGGAGCTGGTGGGCAGAGACTCATTGGAAGGATGACCATTCCGCTTTGCCTGGGACTAAGGTGTTGCCCAGGATTCGGTTCACAAGTGGAAAGTTCCAGGAAAACTGAGACCATAGAGCTGGGAAATGAGGCAGGAGAATATGCTTCAGGAGATGAGCCACCTGTTCCGGAGGCTGGATGGGCTCAGAACGCTCAGTAATGGCCCCCTCTGCTCTCCTGGATGGCCCTGGTGACCCCTCCTTTGGCCTCACCCTCTCCCTGGGGCCCCACAGAAGCCTCCGAGGCTCCGCAGAGGTCACCTGCCTTCAGCTGAAGCCCATTCTTTCGCCAGAGCTGCCAGGTACTCGGGGACCTCATGGCCTCAAGAAGGTCTGACCAAGAAGGCAGTTTCCAGACCCCCATCACCTCGCTTGAACCGTGGGTCTGTAACACCTATCCTCTCCTAGGGCCCTGGGCTTCTGGGCCTGGCCCCGAGTCTCAGGGGCTGGAGGGCCAGGGCGAGGAGAGCAAAGCCTGGCCTCTGGCCCGCAGCAGGGATGAGAGCAAAGCCTCTGGCCCGCAGCAGGGAGGAGCCTGAGCAGGCTTCTTAAGCGCAGGCCCACCTTCCGGCAGCAGAGTGGACTTCTGTTGCTGGCTGCCAAGAGCCCTGGCTGCACCGCCCTGTGCTGATTCACGACTGCTGTTCCTCACGAGTGGGGTTGCAGAGATGCTGACCAACCCCACCCTACCCTCGCCATGGATGGTAGGAGCACCGTTCCCAGCACCCCCACAGCTCTTATATCTGTGATGTGTAATCGTTTTCTGGGCCACATATGCTTGTGAGATTGTTGAACACAATAGGCTGGGTCCTCAGATCACAGTATGCATGCACATACATGTGATGTTTCCTGTGCCATTTTGTGGGGTTCATAGACCCCAACAGTCCTGCCAGCCTTGCCAGGATTAATCTGGGTAGTGCCAGCAAGAAGCCAGGCCTCTGCTAGAGCTGGAGAGGAGGGGCAGGCAGCTAAAACCATGGGGCAATGGGCCTGATGGAGGGGATCCCTGTCTGCCGGCCAGGTGGGAGGGCCCCACCTAATTCCTCACCACTCCTCAGGGCCCCACCCTGCTCATGCCTCTCCTGGAGCTGCCCTACTCTTTCCTCTGCCACTGGGGATTGCCCCACTCCCTGCAGACCTGTCCCAGTCCCTACAAGACTCATCACAGACACAGAACAGAGTCCTTCCTCCCTCTTCCAGCCAATGTGTCCTGAGCACCTTCCTGTGTCAGGCTCTGTTCTAAGTGCTGAGGCCCTAGTGGGGAACAGCTCAGATCCATCCTGGCCTCCTCCATGCCCGTTCCAGGGGAGGCAGAAATCGTCCATGTAAATACCCTACCACCTGCTGGGAGGAGGGAGCAGGAGCCCTGGCACAGTCCAAGCCCACCCCAAGCCCACCGCGGTGCCCCTGTCCCAGCTCTGCTAGGAGTAATGATAAAGCAGCTGTGGTTCACTGAGCACTCGGTGAGCATCCAGTTCACTGAGCTGGGCCCTTGCAAAGCTTCTTCTCTCTTGTTATCCCCATTATACATTTAAGGAAACTGAGACCTTCAGCCAAGGAGAGACAGTCTCCCTGAGGCTAGAGGCCCTGCTTCTAACCATACCCACCCACCTAGTCCTCCAGGGCACTAACCTTTTGGGGTGAACTTGTCAAGGTCGGCTTGCCGTAGGAGGTTCTGGCTCATGCAGGGACCACGGCATACTTCCTAGAACCAAACCCAAGACCCTTAAGGGGACATAAACATCCTGGGGACAGGTCGGACCTGAGAAAGACCCCAAAGCCAGGTGTCTTCCTCGAGTCCACTGGGGAGCACCACGGGGCATGGGGGTAGGGCAGGACCAGCGAGTCTGTACAATTCCTCATTCAGAGGTTACAGCGGGTCTGGCACTCCTCACTGAGAACACTCCCGTGCGTGTCCAGAACTGAGCCACAGGACAGAGGTACTGCAAGGCTAGCAGGGGACCTGTGTGGCCCTCCCCTCTCTAGGGTCATTCTGGCACCCCAGGCAGAGTGGGTATCAGTGCGTCCTTGTCCTATCTTGTCCCCTCCCCTGCCTAAAACCTTTCTGACACTGCAGGGCTCTGAGAAACCCCTCTGTCCTCTCCCTGCCCCAAGCCTCTATCTCCCGCCTCACAGTACCCCTCCTCCACATGGGCCATGAGCTCTGTCAGTGACCTCGAACCTTTGTACTTTACACATCTTCTGCCTGGGATACTCCGTCCCCCAGCTGTTATCTCTTTTTTTTTAAATCCTCACTCGAGGACATTTTTCCATTTTTTGTTCAGATAGAGTGGGAGGGAGAGAGAGAGGGAGGGAGGGAGAGAGAGAGAGAGAGAGAGAGAGAGAGAGAGAGAAGCATTGACGTGAAAGGGACACATCGAGTGGCTGTTACCCGCACGACCAACCAGAGCTGGCGACAAACTGCAACCGAGGTACGTGCCCTTAGCGGGAACCAAACCCAGGTCTCTCTGGACCACAGGCCAACGCTCTAACCGCTGAGCCAAACTGGCCAGGGCCCCAGCCTTTATCTTACCATCTCTTAGATCTCAGCAGTATGCCACCTCATCCAAGGACCCTCCCAAACCAAAGCAGGGGCCAGGGGGACGGTAACTTCCCCACCAGAGCCATTGCCCCACAACAACAGAGACACGTATATCTCATTTGCACTGTCTCCAGTGCTCAGTCCGGAGCCTGTAACACAGCAGGTACTCAGTAATGAAGTGTTGAATGAATGAACAGATAGACAGATGGTCAGAAGGATGGGTGGAAGGATGGAAGGGTGGATGGGTGGGTGGGTAGGTGGATGGATGGACATATAATAGGTGGATGGATAAGTGAACAAATGAACTGATGGATAGATGGATGGATGAAAGGATGGGTGAATGGAACCCACAGGGAGGCCTCAGACTTAGTAGGAGATGGCTGCCACACTCACCCCAAGTTGATCCAAGGTTCCAGGGCTGAGGATGTCAGAGTAGTACCCACGCTGCTTCATCAGTGGGTACTTCTTATCAGTGCCTGTCAGGGGCAATTTCCGGGGCTGCCCCGAATCTGAGAACAAGGATGAGACCTGGGACAAGACTAAATCTGAGGACTTGGGGTCAGGGTTTGGAGGAGGCTCCTCCGACCCAGAATCTGGTCCCAGCAGAATCCTCCTCAGGTTAGACTCTAGGCCGGCAGGAGTCTTCCTCACACTATACTTTTGGCCACCGGGAACACTGCTGCACCCTGCGTCCTGAGGGCTCCTTCTTGAGCTGCAGCTTTCTTTGTTAGGTTGTTCCATGTTGTTTCTCAGCGTGACGTCCCAGCCAGAGCTCCTAGAAGACATTGGCATCACTGGGCCCTTGCCAGCCTCTGTTCAGTCTCTAAGGACAGCATGATACAAGACACCTTGTCTGCCACCCGAAACAAGCCCAGCTTTCTATGCATGGATAATAGAAGAGGGAGCACAGAGGGAGGAATTGGTCTCTGCCTAATCTGGACAGGCACACAGTGCAGGGAGGGTCCCACCAGGAGACGGGGCCTTCCCTGCATGCTGCATGTGAGAAATGAGCCCCCAGAGTCAGGGCTGAGTGAAGAGAGACTGGGAAGCCCTGCAGATGCCCCCACTCCAGTGCAGCCTTCTACACTTGCTTGCCCCCTGCTCCCCATGTTAGGCTTGGCTTCTCACAAGGGGAGACAAAGAGGGAAGGAAGCCCAGAGCTCACTCACTCAAAGAAGGGCCCTGTTTGGTTTGCCCTAAATGACTTTCATCTACCAGCAGCCCCAGACCCTCAGCCCAGACCTACTGGATGCCCTGCCTCTCCCCATGTGGGGACAGGGCCATGCCCTGCCTCCCCCAACCATGCCTGCCTCCCAACCATACCCAGGATCCAGAGGACAAAATGGTCTCCACAGAAGGACCCTCCACTGCCCACAGATCCTGCTGCCAGCAACTTCGCTCAGGGTCGGCCAGTCTAGGAAGCATACGCCCTCCTACCTCCCCCAAGAGAGTAGCAGATGTGCGACTGGGTTGCATGATCAACCACCATCCTAACGTCAAAGGTGTGCAGAGTTTTCACTGTGGGGTGAACAAGCCCTGGACAAGCCATTGTTGCTTTTGGTTACCTCAAAATGCATCACGGTGAACTCTTTGGTCAAGGGAGCATTATAAGAAATTGGACAAAGGTATGGGAGAAAAGAGGTTTTCTCCCATATAATACTCACACAATTATCTCAATAAAAATTCAATGAAAAAAGGGAGGGCATCTTTACAAAAAGAAATAGGGGCCTGGTCCAAGTAACACTCTCTCTTCTTTCCCCATTCCATTTCCCATCTCCTGCACGCTGGGAGGAGGCAGCCAGGAATTTGCAATACAGGTTGCTCTTTTAGCTAGGTTTCCATGCTCCATCATCTCTATTTTAACCCCTGCTGGGACTGGCTGGTGCAGGTCTCCTGTTGGGTCATGGCGGGGGAATCTTTCCTGGCCTGACCTGAAAGGCGGGTGGGCAGCCGGGGCTCTCTGGATCAAGCTCCCCAGCAATGCTGAAGCAGCTTGCAGCTGCTGAGCCCATTTCTAAGAAGGGGATGGTGAGTAGGCAAGACCACTTGAGGGACTGTGAAGGGCAGAAGGGGCTCTGGCAGGAAGCCCCAGACTCTGAGCCCAAAGGCTGACCAGCTTCTGTTCAGTCATGTGTGTCCTACCAGAACTCTGCTCCCTGAATCCACTCTCTGGTGGCCAGCTGCCTCCCAGGGCAGGTGCTAAAAACAATGCTAAGTCTGGTCCACCTGTCTGTTTCTTTTTTTAAAATTTTTTTTCTTTATTGATTTTTAGAGAGAGAGGAAGGGAAAGGGAGAGAGACATAGAAACATAGATGAGAGAGAACATCGATTGGCCACCTCCTGCATGCCCCCCACTGGAGATCAGGCCCACAACCTGGGCATGCGCCCTCACCAGGAATTGAACCTGCGATCTCTTGGTGCATGGGCTGACGCTCAACCACTGGGCCACACTGGCCAGGCTGGTCCACCTGTCTGAAAGTCACCAGCTCTTCCCAGAGCACTCTGAAGGACAGAGGACCCACTGGGAATCAGCCCCATTATGGCTGCAAACCAACAGATATCTGCCTCAACTTTGACAAAATCAACAAATAGAGCAGATCTTGGAGAGGCCAAGGTCCCAGCTCCATGAGAAAGAGTCCATTTCCTGGTTTCTCCAGCTCTCAAATGAGCTTGAACATGCTCGGCTGCTTCACCGGTATGTTATAAGGATTGATGGAGATAGGTACAGAAATGTCCAGGAAACCACACTGTCTCTGAGGGCACAGGAGTCTGTGATGAGTGGATCTGCTGCCTCTGCTGCCATTGCCCTCTCAGCAGGTTGGCAGTGGCAGCACGCATCTAGGCATGTCCCAAGAAGGAAGGTGGAATAGTGAGCTGCAAACTCGAGTCCTGTTTCCTCTTTGTCCCTCAGCCCTTCACAAGGATCAACAGCTCCCTTCCAGTCTCACCCACCCCAGCTCTGGGCATTTGTATATTGCCAGTGTGCACAGGACCTGTGTCAGATAGACAGCCTCATAGGTGACGGCAGCCTCTGAATGGAAAAGAGCCTGACTGGCAAGAGGGAGAGGACAGAGCTCCCAGCAAGACCTCTGCTGGGCATCTCCCTCATCCGTGTGAGGGAACTGGCCAATAAGATGCCAGAGGTGGCCCAGTGTTGGGAATGGTGAGTAATTAAGGGGCTTAGATGTAGTTCATGCATCATCTCACTTAAACCTCTGAGGTGAAACTGAGACTATCTTCATTTCTCAGGGGTGGGAAAAACAAGGATCAGAGAAATTAAGTGACCGATGCATGGTCACACAGACAGCAAAAGGCACAGTTAGAATTGGAGCCCAGGTTATTCTTTCTCCCTAGTCAGATTACCTGGGAGCCCTATTGGTTTGAGCTGGAGGAAGCTTCAGGTTGGACTCACTGGCATTCAACCCCATGTGACAACCACCCACCAGGCACTGGGCTGAATGGATACAGATGAACAAGCATGTTTGATCTTCACAACAGGTACTGTTTTTATCACCAATCCACAAACAAGGAAACTAAGGTCTAGAGAAGGCTAGAAACTGGCAAAGGACACCAGCCAAGAACTGGCAGAACCAGAATGGAAACTGAGATCTTCACCTCTGGCTGATCCAAAGGTCCATGTCCCTTGCACCAAAACAGTGGTTCTCAAGCTGTGTACCAAGAAATCCTGATGTTCTGCAAAGTGGGAACCTGTAGAGAGGGGAGCCTAGGCAGGAGGGTTTCTAAGCCACCCTCCCTGATTTAACAAGGACTCTGTACCTTTGTGTTTCATATACCAGGGTTCTGTGTAAGATCTCATTTGACAAATAAATCTGTGGCTTAAGGGTTTTGGGAAGTCTCTGTCCTTGTGGGGCTATCTGGCAAACAATACGGTGAATGCTAATAACGTCACAGGCTTGGGTTTTCTCCACCTTTCTGGAACATTCACCTGATGTGATCCCCTCTGTATTCCCACAGCTGTCTGAGGCTGCCCCCTCCAGTGAAAATCTCCCCTTATATGTAAACACCTGTCTCATCTGCCAGCTGAGCATGAGGGCCGCAGATGCAGGAATTTTCAAGTAACATTGATCTTTAGAACCTTGGTACCTAGAAGGGCACTGACACAGGCATCACACATAAAGAGGGGGTGGCTAGAAAGTGTTTGCGGAATGATTGATTGATTGAATGAATGAACGAATGGAGTAAATGGAGGCTGCTGACTTCTGTAACTTGTGAGATAGGTGCCTCAGTACTCTGCCAATTTATTGATGGGGACACCAGGGCTAAGGAGACTAGATGTGGTAGCGATCAGGAGAGGGGCTGGGTGGCTGATGAGGGCCAGAATCCTGGCTCCTTCCCTTCCCGGGTTTTCCACAAGAGGTGGGGGTCGAGGGGGCGGGGTCCCCCAAACCTGTCTGGTAAACACAGGACTTATCTGCAAGGTTGTTTTTAAATGCGTCCACTCCTTTCCCACTGGCCAAGGCTCAGGAAACGGCGCTCAGACTCGTGGGCAGGGATGTGGTCCCCGGGCCGGGAGGTCGTCCTCCTTTCTGTCCACTAGCCCTCTGCGCCTTATTGGGGTCCCTCTGCCCGTATTCGCCCCGCCAAGCCTCCGCCCCACCGACCTACCGGCAGCACAGCGCAATGTCGCGTCTGGCGACCCGTCTCTAGGGAAAAAGGCTGAGCCCGTTGCTAAGGGGCGGGACCATCCGGCTCCGTGGGGTCGCAGCTTCCGTCGGAATCGGCCTCCCCCACACACCCCGGGACTTGGTTCCTCCCGCCTCACTCTAGCTCCCCCTTCCCCGGCCCGGGCCGCCTCGGTGTGGCGGGAAAGTGTTAGCCCTCTGGGTTCTCAGATCCAGTCCCGCAATCCCTGTCTCTCCCAGACTCTTCTAGAATAAGAGACAATACAGCCAAATGCAGTGCAACAATTTTGAATCTCTTTTTGAATTTTGAATGGTTTTGGTTTTTTTTAAAGCTACGTAAATAATTTGGGGGAGAATAATAGGGAAACTTTAAGAATTGTAAGTTCGTATTTAAGCCACAGCTGCAGAACCGATGGTCAGGTCACTGCCCAAAGGGTGGCTTCTGGTTCTCCGGGGCTGGAGCTCAGCATTACAGCCACACCCATCCATCTGGTGGCAATTTCTCCTCCACCTTCTCAGGATGGGCAGTGGGTGCGCCTGCGCCTCCTCCCTAGTTTCAGGGACCTATTGCTCCAGTGACCTGGCAAGGGTTCCAGTTTTTATCCTCCTGCCTGTCCTGGATATTAAATTATTTTAATTTTCTTAGATGTGATAATGGTATTGTGGTTATATAGGAGACTGTCCTTGTCTTAGCTGATGTGGACTGAAAAGTTGCAGGACAAATGTCATGATGTCTACTGCTGCGACTTCCTTTCAAATGGCTCAGCAAAATTGCTATCTATAGGTAAGTATAGATAGGCCTTGGCTGGATAGCTCAGTTGGGTACAGCGTCCTCCTGATATGCCACGGTTGTGGGTTTGATCCTGTTCAGGGCACGTGCAAGAATCAACCAATGAATGTATAAATAAGTGGAATAACAAATCAATGTTTCTCTCTCTCTCTTTCTCCCTTCCTCTTTCTCTAAAATCAATCAATCAATTAAAAAATCGATAGGTAGAGGTAGGAGATAAAGCAAAAGTGGTCCAATGCTAACAAGTAGGAAATCTTAAGGTTTACAGATGTTCATTCTACCAGTCTTTCAAATTTTCTGTAAGGAAAAGAGGTGGGTTACAAACCAAAAGAAAATTTAAAAATCACCCCACCTCAACCTGAGAAACCCTGCCCAGAACCTTCTCAGAATTGGCCCCATTTCATAGTTGGGGAAACTGAGGCTTGGTAAGAAGGGATCATATTGGAGGAGGTAGTAGACCTGATGCTCATTACCTAAATGTCCCATTCTACTTGACATTTTAGTAATGGTGGCTTGGTGCCAGGCCTGTGCTGGGCACTAAGTGTCCAGATTTGAACTGGACCCTGTCTGTACCATAAAATGCCTGTTGAGTAGGAGAGCCAGAGAGGCCAGGCCACGAGGAACTCAGAGGGAGGGCATACGCTGTGCCTGGAGACCGTAATTCAGCCTTTGCACAGGCTTCTGCTTCCTCTGTCCAGAACATCTCTCTCCACCAACTACTACTCCTGGCCAACTCCTTTTCATCCTTCAACACCTTATGCCGGTGCAACCTTTCCTGAGCACCAACCGTGGTTTTATTGTCTTTCCTTGTTGGCATTCACACAGTAGGTTCTCAGTGATCATTCTGGAAGGAAGGAAGAAGTGATAGGGGGATTGGAAGCAAGGGTGACTAAAGCCCTGTTCTGGGCAGCCTGGAGATAGGCTACGTACCTCACTCGGCCTGTGGAGAGGCACTTGCTTCTCTGCTTTTGCCTGGCATTTCCCACACTGGGTGCAGCTGTCCAAAAAGCTGCAGTACCCATCTGGTTGCCAGGGCAACATCAGCCCATGGTGGGACGTCAGGGATGACAGGGGCAGAGAGCTAATCCTGAAAAGTTGCCAAGCAACACAGGGACCATGGCTGATGGACGCATGGGTAGGCCACTGCAGAGAGGGTCTACTCTCAGGAAGTTCAGCTCACAGAGTCACTCACCCTCTACTATGCAATGGTCACTGTTGTGTCCCTCAGCTGGAGGGTAGCCAGGGAGGAGCTGCTCTTCCCAGCAGCCCTAGTAGCTCCACCTTGCACCTCTACAGGTGTGGACAGTGGATGTGACTGCCTCCCACTCCCTGGCAGGAGACTGGCTCAGTTTGGGTCTCAGGTGCCCACCCTCTAATGCCCCCACCTTCTCTAGTGGTTGGGCACAGGATCAGGCTTTCATGTCCCTGCCCTGCCCTGGAGGCCACCATATCTACTTGTTCCCTAGGAGAGAAACAAGGAGCTGACCATGAGTCCACCCTGAGCTCCTTGTCCCCCTGTGGTAGAAGGGCAGTCTCTTGCCCTGTGTGGGCTAGAAAGTAGGTCAGATTTGTTCTTGTTGAAATGAGGGGAGACCAGGTTTCTGGGAGAGTTTGTAGGGGGGCAATCTTCTGCCCCTCCCTGGTGGCCCGGAAGCTCAGGGCTTGGGAGGACAGACTGCTTAGGGTACCTTGGCCCAGCCCAAGCCTTTCAGGCAAGGGATGTGGGCACAGCAGGCCTGTGCGCCCCTCCCTGCCCTTCTTGCTGGCAGTGCTGAGGGGGGAGCACCGCTTCACTGCCTGCAGATGACAGTCTCTTGTAGATGGTCACGTGGCTGGCCGGCAGGAACAGAGGGCAGCATGCATCCGGACGGGGTAGCTGGAACGCCCTACTTCCCGCCTGCCCCCAGCCGGCCTCTTGGTCCCCAGGATCTCCCTCTGGTTTGCTAGGCCAGGGGCTCTGAGCTGCTGCCAAGTAAAGCCAAGTCGTAGGCATAGAGGGTATCAGAGAGGGCTGGGTGGGGTCTGGGGTTTACCCTCTCCCCAGGTCTCCCCTGACCCCCACCCCTGCCATTGGCCAGCCGGCCTCAGCAGCTCTGACAAGACTTTTCTTTGATGAATAAAAATGGACACAAATTCTCCTTTGATCCACATGATCAGCTCGACAGCCCAGACCACAAGGAGGAGGAGGGGAAAGGAATTCCTGGGGGTCTGAAGGATTGAAAACCACTGGCCCGTGAATGCTCAGTTCTCATCCCAGCCCCTTCCCACCTGTACTCATATGGCGCTTTCCAGCGGGAATCTCCTTCCTCTTTCAGTTTTTCTACAACTTTCCATCCCATCTCAGGCTATACCTCCTCAGGAAGCCCTCCCTCAGCCCATAGAACACGTTCATGCTCTCCTCAGGGGTCCCAGAGGACCATGGTCAGTACCACTTGGTAGGCAAACATTCAGGGGTCACTGCTGTGTCCCCCCACTGGAGGGTGGGCTTGAGCAACAGGACTGGGGGCTACTGCTTTTCCCAGCAGCCCTACCAACCCATCAGTCCTAGAAAGACCCTTGGGAAATGACTAGGAGACAGAACAACCTACATCACAGCTGTCACCCTGAATATGGTGGCCACTGACAGCAGCCCAGCTGCACATGACACCTCTTCCCCAGTCACCTCCCTCTGACCTGTAATTCCAGACCACATCAAGGGACAGAGTCCAGCATGCTGAGACTCTGCCCTTCAGAAACAGCTGCCAGGAGGGGCTTCCCACTGGCCCCTACCTACCTGGGCCAAAGCTCCAGGTAACAAAAGACAAGACAGTGATGTCTTCTGAAAGGCGTTTCCATGAGGCCCTGAGAAGCTGCACAGAGCTGTTAATCATAATTGGGCTCTAAGTACCTCTGATTTCCCTTTGACACCAAGGAGCTTGGTGAGCATCGACTGAGTGATCTCTTGGCAGAGTGAGGGGCCTCCATCATCTCAGTCCTGTGCCCCACCAAGTGCCCTCACCCCAGCCCTCCAGGAAGCCTGAGTTTACTGAGTCTGGGGACCAAACGACTATTTTGACCTTTTGCCCCATGCCTAGATAGGTCTGTGAACAGGCAGAGGCCTGGGTCCTGCTGCGATGCACTGGGCAAGTCTCTTCCGTTGCTAGGCTTCAGTTTTTCCATCTGCACAGTGGACAGTACAAACCGTGCCCGGCCCTGTACGGAGGGGCCTGAGGGCACACAAGACTGTTAACCCTGCCCCCAAATACCTCCAGTTCTGGCAAAGTTTTGTCCTTGCCAGACCTCCGTGATAGAGTGTGGTTTGTTCAAGAGAGGGAATTCCTCGTTATCACAGGAAGGGCAGCCACAGTGGTCCACGTGCGATAGTCTGGGGGCGCTCAAGCAGCTAGGGAGGCAGCTGGAGCTGCCAGTCTCCTCGGCAATCTCCAGGTCAGCAAACCGAGGTGGCAAGAAGGGAGGGACCCCACCAAGTTCATGGCTGAGTAGTGTGGGAACCTGGGTCTGTCCTGCAGGGTTTAGGAAGCAGCTAGACTGTGGGCCACTAGATAAAGACCAGTTGCCATGGGAATCTCCTTCCCATTCTAGGAGGGGGAGAGACATCTGTCAGGGCCTCCCATTTCTCCTGCCCCCTTGTGTTTCTTTCCCATCTGGTGGGGGTATCAGAGAGCCAGACACTGATATTTCCTAGAATCTCAGCGTCCCTGCCTGAACTGGACTGCTGGACTCCCAGGCCACCCTTCTACAGCATTTACTCTCCCTGCGGAAGGGCGGTATGCCTACCCCAGTGTCCTCTTCTTTCCCCAGTACTCCTGACATGCCACTCAAAAACCTGGCACTGACGAGTTCTCTGTACAGTTCCCCTGTACCCTGATGGGCCTCGGGGAAATGTCACCTCTACCTCCAAGCAGTGACTCTCAAGTGTCTCAAGGGCCTGAGACAGCCCCTGCCCCCTTCTCCTTGTAACCTAGCTGGCCACCCCAAACCAGGTCTGGGGACATTCCAGCCTCAGATCTCCTTCCAAGCAGAGGGAAACTTTCTCTTGGAGGCCCTAAGGGAGGGAATGGCTACTCCCATTTTACAGGTCAGGAGACTGAGGCCCTGAAGTAGAGGCCTTGTCAAGGACACATACACTGCTGGCCAGGCGGAGCTGGTTTGGCAGCTGGACCCTCTGCTTTCGCCTGGGGCCCTTCCAGCTACCATCCTGCTTCCACAGCCCCTCTTGGCTGGCCCTCAGAGCAGGCAGCTGGGCCTGGGGATGG